TCCAAAATTAACCCAATATCCAATATCCAATACCAAAAAATAAACCTTTATATCAAGAAATCCAAAAATATCCAACCTACGCCCAATAATAATCTAATAATCCATCAAATATATATATATATCATTATATCCACATATTTCAAATACATCACGAAAAAAACGAACTCCCACCATCTTCAAATTTAAGCAAATCTGCGAATGTCTTATAATATATTTTTAAGTATGTTTAAACAATAATGTAGAGGTATGTATCAATTCAAACCAAGAAATACAACAAGTTTCAATCTAATTTCATCTGAATCCATTGATAATTCATTGAATTCATTGATTATTTCTGGATCGAATTATTATCTTGAGATTCTTGAGTAAATATGTCGCATTTGTCGGAGTGAAACCCAAGCGTCGTCGCCAGAAGATCTCAATTATTTCAAGAGGTTCACGAAGTCGTCGAAGACGACTCTGCCATCCTGCACGAAAAAAGTTTCAAGCAGCAGCAAATCTTTTCTTTTCGGATCGAATCATAACCGGTACTTTATAATTACTTTGTCCAGGGGAGGGGGATGGATTGAGGGGAGGGATTGAAGGGAGGGATTGGGGGGATAGGGGGATGTGGATGAATTTGGATGTACTTGGGACATGTTTTAACTTTCCAAATCAAAAGATTGCGCTCTTTTGACTTTCAGGCCTCAATTTTGAGGCTTGCAGCGTCAAGCGGTTGAAACCGGGAATGCGTTCCACTTTTTGGAAGCTGACCATGTCACACCATGTCACACCATGTCACACCATGTCACACCATGTCGTCCAACGGAAGTTCTCGAACAACTTGACTACAACTTTTCCCATGGGCTTCTTGGTCAATGTCAATTGTACATATACAATCATATACAGTATATAATTATATAGTTATAACATAATATACATATAATTTTCTATATATACGGACTTGAACTTTTATCTTCTTGTGCGGGTGAAACATCCAAATTCCGAGCATCTCACTTGGGCTGTGCCTGGCTTCGCGAGGGGACTTGGTGCAGATGGAAGCCGATGCTTAATCTTTCATGGATATTTTGGATACGGGAAAGATTGGGAAAGATTGGGAAAGATTGGGAAAGTAGAGAGTAACTGTACTGAGTAACAATTGAACATCCCTCCATCATCCTCCATCCAAATCCGACCCCAAACAGCTGATCTTTGAATAATTGGCAGTGATATGGCGATGCAAATGGCAACATCTGGAGATTTTATTCCCGAAGGATTGCGACAAAAGTGTCACGCAAATTTTCTTCCAGCGGCGCAGTCACTTCTTTTGCCTCACCAAATGAACACCTCAGTGGTCTCCGTATGTTGCCAGTTGTGAAGCAGAGCGAAAAATCGGGCTCAAGAGCTGTCAAAGAGTAGGAGCTACGGGAAGCTTATCCGTTGGTTTGGAAGCCAAAGAAGGGAACCATTTGGACACGGGAATGTCTAGCTTTTCCAAGTGCTGCTTTCCGATTTTCATGGTCTGAGCTCTGCTCCAAAGTCATGTTTCAGCCTCAGCTATGGCCGGAATCAAAGGCGTGGCTTCGAAGGAGAATGCCACAGATTCCGGTCACTCCATCCTTACGTTCGCATTAAAACATATTCAACAACATTTAACAACTGTGTTGGATGTGAGAACAACTTAACACATCAGCACTCTGCCAAGGAACAGGTTCATCCTCAGGATCAGCCCGTGAGTGCTGTCCTCAGCAGGAGCTTCACTAGGTGAAAACAGTTTCACAACTAAATGATCTAGATGGGAAACTCATATATCTAATATATATATATATCTAATATATATATACACATATATATTTACATATTCAAATATTTCACATGTCTAGTCAAGAGTGAGCACGAGGAGAATGACGTGCACAGAATGGGTGATCTGAGACAGTTGCCAGGAAATCCCCGCTGACTCTCAAGGCATTCTGGTACCTGTTGGAAAAATCGTGCAAGACCACAACATACCACAAGCATCTCACGAAGGTCATGAACCACTTGCCTCAAATCCCCAACTTTGGGGAAACTCTGATAGTGGGACACAGTCACAGAGTACATCCATGAGAAACCCTTGATGCACTCTTGCCACTCAAGTGGGGTAAACACTGTTTCGACTCAGGAACAAATTGAACGTGCCTACCATCTTGAACATCTTCAGCCAAAAAAAAAAAGACTAACATGTAAATCCCAATCTTGCTTACCCAATGTGCACGGTTGTTTACCCGATGTTTATCATGGTTTATCTTGTCGTGTCTGACGTGGCGCACGTGGACCGCCTATGGTCTGCATGGCTGGCATGAAGGATCTTCCTGGCCGCAGGCTGACCTTGTAACGTCAATCTTCACTTGCGGTGCCTAGAATACCACTTGATAGATTATGAAACAAAGCCTTTATGACGTAGCTATACAGTTATACAATGTTATACATGGATTATTAGTAATCATTAGTAAACTACCCAAAATTGGGAACACAAACACTCAACTTCTCAACCACTCCAACTGACCCCTCCGACCCATACCCTGGCCGGCCTATGCGAGTCAATCTTGGCTTCCAGCTGGCGCTGCCCGATGAGTTTGGCCACCTATGCATTGGTCCAGGGTGAAGAGTTTCCAGTTTATTGTAGTTCCATGACTCCCTTGTAGTGTGGGTGGTATTGTGATGCATTCTGCTGCTTAGTACGTTCAAAAAAAGTAAAGCTATATACATACATCTATATATATATATAATAACACCTTAGTGCCTTAAATAATTAATAGAATCAGTACTTACAGTATATCAAAAGAACACCTTTTCTGAAAACACATAAAACATAGCAAAGCACGCTGAAAAACACGGGCCCAGATAGCGTCATGCACTCCCAAAAACTGGCATCCCTTCCCATGCCCACCTCCCGCTGCATAGACTCAACGTCAGTGTTGAAGGCTTCCGCCATCCGATGAAGCGACACCGACAGAAAGGGCGCAAAGTACTGCACAATACCTCGGCAGTAGCGACTTCACCCTCTGATCGTTTTATCGGGGATTAAACAACCAGCTGTGTAGGATCTATCCCTACAAACCCTCGAACTAAAAAAAACTTTATCTGGACATGATCATTCGTTGATTAAGGATTTTGGAGGCCATTGCATCAAGAGTTCAAACATGATTCAACTACCTAGCTGAAAGATCTGAAAGGTCCAATGGAAGAAGCCACTGTGCTCCATTGCTACTTAAAGTAGACCTAGCTCAAACGGCTTGAGTTCCTGATATTTCACGGCCAAGCTTCACAGGAGAAATCCACCGTCTTTCAGACGACTTGGGCAATTGGGGATCGGATGTTCAAACAAACCTATCCGGAATCTCCAACCCATCAAACCCTTATTCCATGCAGCTGGATCACCTTTGTTCCTGATCTGCTCGCAAAGATTGGCCTCAGTTTAGAGGGATTTAACAATCTTTGAGGACCGATTTGAGTTGCATCCTCCAAGCTCAACCAATATCCCAACGGCCTTCAGACCAGTCAGTAGGTCAAAGTGCGTCAGTATACAATGCCATCTTGAGCTTCCAGCAACCTGCCCATGTAAATGTACATCCAAGGACAGGGGCTCCTGGTACAGGGACTGGAGTCAACTGAGGAGTTTGTGTCAAGATGATCCAAAATGGGGATACACAAAAATTGCCATTTACAAATGCGGAACATGATGAAAACCATCGATGAATAATGATAAATCCTAGGATTTTGGGGGTACATGTTTTCAAAAACTAATTCATTCTACATCATCGCAGCCAGCAAGGCCCAAAAACCTGAGGCAAGTAATCAATGTATGTATATATATATATGTATATATATATATATGTATTATATTAGTTATATATCTTATATATATAATATATAAAATATATTATATCTTATATATCTTATATATCTTATATATCTTATATATCTTATATATCTTATATATCTTATATATCTTATATATCTTATATATCTTATATATCTTATATATATTATATATATTATATACATTATATATATATATATTATATATATATTGTATATATTGTATATATTATATATTATATATATTATATATATTATATATATTATATCTATTATATATATTATATACTATATATTATACACATATTATACTTATTATACTTATACATATTACATATATTATAATATATATATATATATCTATTATTGTAACTTCGATCGCTCTCAATCCTTCAATTTCTCCAGAGACGCCAAGCAAGCTGCATACCTGGTCATCTGCGACTCGGCACGTCTCTCGTCATGCGAAGTTTGGCACAGCGTGGCACAGCGTGGAGCCTGCAGCTGCAGAAGTCGATGGCCAAGTCGCGAATCTGCCTTGGCACCAAACAGGAAGTACGACTGGCTGACTTGGCTACTTGTGATCATTTGAATCCCATGGAATCTCCATGAATAATCAATAGATATCAATAGATATTGTGATGGGAATGGGATCCATGATCCATTCAAATCTGTTTCATGCCAAGTTTCATGCTGCCTCTGAAACAACATGAAACAACAGGTTACCCCAATCCAGGATCCGCACAGTTGGAACCACCTGTCTCCCAACGATGGCCATCGCCACTTCGCCATACTCCATACCTTGCAGCTCTTAGCCTCGCACGGAGCCATGTCAAGGCATTCGCGGAACGTCTGTGAGTCCAAGAACTTCTGCTGGACCTTGCGAGCGAAGCTGAAATTTTGCTGTACTCTCACCAAACGTTTGGCCGATTCCTCTGGCCATGCTCATGTGTCCGTCAAGTCATTAGAGTACCTGTTTGGACTCACCAATGGTTTGTTCCTTCTAGATCCTTCTAGTATTATCAGCATTCGACCATATATCAACCATATATCAACCATATATCAACCATATATCAACCATATATCAACCATATATCAACCATATATCAACCCATCATTTGGTACTTTGGGGGTCCATCTATCAACCCATCCCACATCCCCACGTCGGAATTTCAGCCTCTGTCCGTTCCAGCGAGCCAAGGCCACAGAGAACACCATAGAGAGCAACCTATAGGATGATTGGGCGATTGTAGGATGATGGGAATCATTGTACATATTATAGACTATCTGATCTAACTACATACAGTATCTATAAGCATAATCATCTATAATAATCATAATCATCTATAATATTCTATAATATAATATGATATGATATGATATAATATAATATGCTATAATATAATATAATATACTATAATATAAATATAAATATACATATAATACAATATAATATCGTATAATATGCTATAGTATAAAATAATATACTATAATATGATATAATATAGTATACTATACTATAATATAATATAATATAATATAATATAAACTAAAATCATATAATATAAACTAAATATAATAAGCTATAATAATCTACAATATAATATAATATAATATAATATAATATGATATGATATGATATAATATGATACAATATAATATATCTAAATCAATGCATATGAAATGTATACATGCTTGCTGCTTGATTACATCTGCCTTTTAAACATCTTACAGTTTCGTGATGGAAACACCTGGAATCAACCCGCAACTTCGGATCAAGGATTGGGACGAAGGACCCTCAGCACTAAGCTTCATGCATCTTGAGGACTCAGCAAGTCAGAGAAGGCAGTACCGAGGTCCTAATCGGCTGGATTTCTCAATAAATCATAATGTTTTCCAACAAACGCTATATATATAATCTCTATAATCATGGGATCCTATGGGATACCTTTCACAAAATATGCACAGCAAACAGCACACTCAACTGTTTTACCCTTGAGCCAAAATATACGTACAACACAGTGGTTGTGTGACAATTATATGGAGGTGTAAATTTCAACACCCCTCCATCAACGCAGGTGCTAGCTTTGCTACACCTTTGTTGATTCTAACTTCTTTGCTCCAACAGCTTTCCCTAGACGGTACTCCTGACACATGTTCTTCATGTGTCTCTCACAAGTTTCGCGTCCTATGGGTTTCGTACATAGATCGGCTAGATTGTTCTTTGTACCGATCGGGCAGATCCGCAGGTGGTTCTCAGCCACACGTTCCTGGATCCATAGATAACGGGTCTGGACGTGTCTTAGCTTTCCGAGACCTCTCCTGCTCGCTGTACCGCGTGCAGCGCTACTGTCGCTGTAGATCTCTAATGCCCTTTCGGCTCCCCAATCTTGCATGAGCGCCTTGATGCTCAAACCAATTGCGGATGCTCGTACGAGTGCATAAAACTCGCTTTCTCCCGAGCTCAGAGCAATGGTCGATTGGAGATTCGATCCATATTTGATGCAGTGTTGTCCCATCATGACAACGAATCCTGTTGTGCTTTTCCTCGTCAACAGACAACCCGCATGATCACTGTCAGTGTAGACTTTAATCACCTTGGGTGTCCTCTGAGGTTCGTAGGTGCACACGACCCTTGGCTTTCCGACCAGGTATCTACCTAATCGTTTCAAGTCCTTGACGTCTGCATCGTTTGGTGCTTTCATCTTTCTCGTCAGTGATTTCGCTGTTTCTGCTATGTCTGCACGGTCTTGTGCTAGGAACTGTGCTCTCATCACTAGACTTCTGTATAGTGTGGTCTGTTCTGCTGTCACCGGTGGAAGACCTACCGATGCCAGCACTTCGCTGCTCTTTTTCTTCTCCGACGGTGTCACCACACTTTTCGCATTTTCCAAGTTCAATTGTCTGATGATCATTTCTGCGTGTCTTGGATCAGCTTCGTATGTCACTTTTCCTGTTTCATGGTCGTAGGTCACAATTCGGTTCAAGACTGTCAGATGTGATCCTCCACCTTTTCCGATGAGTCCGTCACATCTGAACTCATATCTCTCTTGCAAAACCTTCTGCATGTATTCTTGTCCTGCCTTGTCACTCAGGACTAAAAAGTCGTCTCCATGTACTAGCAGCTTGATGTTCTTCTCCTTGTGCCAGAACACTGATGTCCAAGCTTTTCCACATTCGAAATTGTGTTTCTTCAACAACTCGCTGTACTCTGACTGCCAGACATGACTGGCGTCTTGCGTGCCATACATGGTGCGCTGCAGTAATGCGCACATTCCTTCTTCTTCGTCACCTTGTGGCAGTGTGACGTATACCGTTCTTTGTGCCTTTCCGTAGAAATGCGCACGTGATATGTCGTAGAGTGCCAGCTGCTCGTTACTGCCACTTGTGGCTAACATCGAGCATAGTAGCTTCACCGCCTCCAATGGCGGCATGTTCGAAAACAGCTGGTGTCCTGGGAGTGAACCATGTTTCTTCTTCACTTCCCGGACCACTAAGCGTGAACGGTAGTTCTTCTTCGTTGAATCGCCTTTGTTGCGATCAATCCATTTCAACGTGATGGGTGCTTTTCCTGTAACTGCCCAACATTCGCTTATGGGTCGTTTGACGTAGACTTCCTGTTTCTTCACCCAAGCAAGTTCTTCTTGTCTCGCTTTCAGTACCTCCTCCGTTTCCAACTGAACTCCTGTGATCTCATCAAAGAAGATCTGCTCATCACCTTTGTTTTCAAACTTCAGTACGTATTCGTCTTCATAGTCCTCAAGATGTGGATCTTCATCCGGGCTTGGTCCTGCATCTAATGCATTCACTTCTCGGTACTCACCATCTGCTTTCATTTGTTGCTTGATGGCCTTTAGTATTCCTTTCACCAGTTCTGGTGGGTATACCCGTGCCATTTTGGCACGTCCATTGACGAGATGGACGTGTCTATGCCATTCTCCAGTTCCTTCATCGTTCGAGCAAACGCCCGACAGAATCTTAGCCAACTCCGGGCTATTCGTAACCCATCTGGTATTTTTCCTGACATAAGATTCACCACTGGCGTCTTTAGCCACCATTTTCCATCTGCACATTGGTCCCTCAATTGTGAATGTTCCGGGTAGGTTCTGAACTTCCTTGACACATTCTTCATTCCAACTGGCTGCTGGTTTTGGATGTTCGTGTAGGAAGTACCTACCCCTCCTTGACAGTTGCTTGTAGTACTCGCATGCTTGCTTTAGCATCCTTCTGCCTTCTTCCAGCCTTTGCTGTCGAACAGCTGGATCAACTCTCCCTGTGTTTAGAGCTTGAAGCGGTGAGAACGCTTCACACGGTGGACTTCCAGTTACCAGGTATGGATCCTCCTCATCCAAGATCCTTTCCAGACTCTTCACATGATTTGGATTCAACAAGTTCCATCCAGTCTCCAAATCAACTGCGTATCCTGGCCATAGTCCATAGTTCTTGCACTTCTCTGTCAATCTGGGCGGTGAAAAGATTTCACTCACATCATGTGCTCCGAGAGACTTCAAATCTTGCAATGAAACTTCCCAATCTTCGTCGGGTTCAATACTAAAGTGAAACAACGACTGGACATCTCTAACGTGACTTGGCGATGTAACTGGTGACCAAAATTGGTCATGACTCATGTTTGCACCTGGGGCTGCAGATCCTGAAGCAGTCCCACTGGCTGAAACAGCCGGAGCGACCGCTTGTCCCTCGGAAGTTCCACTGGTTGAAACAACCAACGGCCCCTCCTGCTCCTGAGCATCGTAGTACAGATCATCGATGTTGTCTGGTATCCGTTTTCCTGACCTCAAGGTATCTGACCTTGTTCTCTTCTCACCTTCAACTCTTCCTCCGTCTGATCTTGTCCTTTTCGGTGATGTTGGTTGTTCAGGTTCTTCAGGTTGTCCAAGTGCTACTGATGATCTCACTTCGCCTTCAGTGGGATCCGGCATTCCTGTGATCACTTGTTTTGCCTTTTTCTTTTCGGTACCTTCCTCTTTCCTTTTCTCGACGTCTGCTAGACGTTTCCTTCCTTCTTCCGTTTGTAGCAACCTCTGTTCTAACCTGTATCTGCATGTTGCATTGTGTGCAACTGCTGGCAATCCAACCATGATTGCCTCACAACCTCTGCAACCTGGTGTGTAGTCCATTGTACCGTCTTCCTTTTCCAAGTCCTTCTTTCGGACGTACAGATTCCTAGGACCTCCATCCCGTACACTCGGGGTTAATCTCTGTGTTGTCTCAGGCAACGTGATGTGTAGTCTGTGTTCCACATCTTCGGCACTCCTTGGGCGAAGCGCCCAGGGTGTACCTTTCAATTCTTTGAGTTCCGTTCGGTCCCATCTCTCCGATTCTGGTCTCCTGTGGACGGTATTGCCTCTAATCACACCTTGACTTGTCATCACCAACACATCGGCGTTCCTGCCGTGCGTTCCAACGTAGTGGCCACTCATGACCCTACTTGCTAGATCTCCTTTCTTTCTTTCGGATTCACCTTCCTTGGAAACCCTGTAGGAATCCAACGGTCTAAAATAGACCTTTTCGCCAAACGTCACCATAGGTCTGTTCCATTTTCTTCCAGTCAATCTTTGGTATGGGGTTTTCCCATCATCTTGAATACTGAATCTACTCAGGCAAAATGCCGCATGTCTACTTAGCCATGTGAGTAATGGATGCGTATCTTCCAACTTTCCAAAGTGTTCCTCAAGTTCACTCAAAAGTGCTCTTGACTGTCGCTTCTCGTCCCTGATTGCGACTTCGACTGCACCATTGGCACTGTGGTCCCCAGTAGGTGCTTCTTGCAGGATTATCTCAATTCCTGCTGCTTTAGATTTCACTTCTCGTTTCAGAGCGACGATTGCTGGTTCTCCGTCACTTTTCAGAATCAACCTGTTGTACCCTGCTTCGTTCAAACAAGCCAACATGAAGTTGACTGAAAACAGGTCTGGTCCTTTCGTGGGTATTGTAGTCGCCCACGTCATCTTTGACTTGCTGTCTTTTACCTGCAAGTTCGTTGATTCTCCATCCTTCTCACCATAGTAGAAGTAGTCTATTGATACGACTGGGATTTCACTGTCCTCATCCCGTGAAACTGAGCTGTGCTTTGCGTACGTTGCACGAGCTCTCATGCAATGGCCACACCACGATCTGTGAACTGCGTGGGCTGTGGCAAGATGTTCCTCTAATTCTTGGGCTGTCGGATCGCTGACTTTCCTTGCGACCTTTGGCCTCTGTACCTCGACAGCTTCTGCCGGGTCCTCTGCTGAAACAGCAGGGGCCCCAGCTTCCGCTGGCGACTCCTCCATTCTCTCTTCTTCTTCTAACGGACTTACGGCCAACCCTGCCGTTAGTTTCCCGACTTCCTTTCCAACTTCTGCTTTGTGGTGTCTTCGTCAACCCAGTAGTCAAACACGTAGACACCCCTTTCTATTCGCAACTTGGTGGATTTCCCACCTTCTTCTTTCAACACTTGGTCTACAAACTTTTGGATTCTCTTTGCTGCATTCGACCCAGCTGGAACTATGTTACCACCCTGGTTGTCCAATATCACCATATTCCTCTTACACACTTCCGACCCACTAGCCAAGATGCGGTGCACATCGGTCACCCTCGCATTCAAGCTCTTGTCCGTGTAGTTGGCGTCACTGCCATACAACTGTACTTGGCCATGGTCAGAAAGTAGTTCACCTGAGGCTGTTTTGTAGCGGGTGGACTGCTTTTCACCGAATGCATACCTTCCAAACTCTTTCAGCGGTACGGTTGAAACCGCTGCTCCAGTGTCAAAATTGACAACCACATGTTTGTACAAACCCTGGAGTTCTGGTTCAAACTCGTTCGAATCGAAAGAGTTCAAATCCGCCCAACTCATGATTCCATGTGTTTCATCATCGTCCCCAGGATTTGCTGCTCTACGTTCAGCATTGGTCATCCTAACATCATCCATCTCATCTTCAGTCCTGGTGGTTACTGCATCATCATCATCTTCTGCATCTACCCTTGCAGCACTTGACGCAGCTCGGCCGGATTTCCTTTTTCCTCTCTTTGCCTTGCCCTTTCCGCGACCTTTGTCGCCTTTGCCTTTGTTCTCAAAGAATTCCGGACTTCTCCATGGTGCGTTCATGTACATCTGGTCCTCAGTGCGATTCTCGAACTCCCGAAGTCCTTTGATCTCCGTGGTCACGCTAGGCTCTCTCTCTTCTTCTGGATCATCCATGACATCTTCATGAGGTCTTTCTGACATTGCCTCATCTTCTCCTTCAGTCTTTACCTCTTCCTTTGGCTCCTCAGCTCTTCGTTTCTTTGGTGCTGGTGGTGGTCGCATTTCAAGCTGAGAAATGATCTGCTTCGTCTTCTTCTCCATACGTACCAATTCCATCTCCTTGTCATCGTGGAGCAGCTTGCATTTCGATCCATACCTGCACGAACCGTGCAAGAAGAATCTGCAATGTTGGTCCTTCAGTCCATCGATGACAGCCTGGTCATGAGAGAACGGGCATGGATCCCTTTTGCATTCTCCTTCCCATGCCAACGCTCGACAGGCTGTGGTACGCTGTCTCCTTTCCTTTCTCTTTCTGTTCCTCTTCTGCTTCTTCGCAGCTGTCTTTCCTTTGGTCTTCTTCTTGGTTCTCATCGCGGTTCGACCTTTCTCCATCACTTTTCGTTCGTCATCCCTTGTCTCTTGTCGGAATGACTCAAACTCTTCCTTGGTGAGGGGTCTGAACACCTTCTTTTCCTTATAGGATCCCGTTCTTGACATTCCACTGGAAACCTTCATTGAACTTCCTGATTCCTCACCTTCCTTGATCACTTCAGTCTCCATGCCTTGGTACCCAATCTGTTCCGTATCTGCTGGTATCTTTTCCTCCTCTTTCAGTGCTCTGGTTCTATACTCCTTGATCCACTTCGCATGTAGTTCCTTTCGAACTTTAGCTCTTTCACCCACACCTTGCTGTCGGTGGATGATAGCTCGGCGTCGTGCTTTCTCCTTACGCCATGCTTCGTTGTGCGGAACTCCTGCTGCGATAGCCCTGAAGTAGCGCGCATCATGCCACTGCTGATTCGTCAGGTTCTCTTTGGTCAGCATCTTCACAGGGTTTTCTCTGGTACTCTTATCCTGTTTCGAGATGTAGTTGCGTAACTGCTTCAACTCCTCTTCAATTTCTGTGATGCGTTTCTCTCATGTCTTTGAACTTCTTCATCATCTTCAGCATTTTCGATCATTTCGACCAACTTACGCTTCTCATGGTGCAATCGGCCAACTTGAAGTCCTTCAATGGTACGATGCATGAGAAGGCCAGTCATCGGGGTCACAACTCTGCCTGAATCAGGCAGGGTCGTTTCCTTTGTGTCTGGTTTCTCATCATCTTTCGCTTCCATTTCATTCTCATCCTTCTCCGGCGATTTTGCCAACTTCTCCAACTCCAATCGCCTCTGGACTTCATTGTCGTCCTTTTCAGCTGTGAGGAATTCCTTAGCTTCGTTTAGGATCTTCCTGATGTTCTCTCTTTCCTGATCCATGTCGTACTCTTTCATTTCATCAAGGTATCCTTCCATCACAGCCTCGACATCCTCGTCATCTTCAGCTTCATACCCTGGATCTTCATCAGGCTCTTCTGGTTCTTTGGTCTCAGCCTCGGCTTCATCTTCGACTTCATCTTCAGCTTCAGAATCTGTGGTATCATCCACAGTATCTTCATCTTCTTCTTCTCGGATCCCCCGAAGTTGTCTGGCCAGTTTCAGCCGACCCAACTCCGTGGGCAGACTTCCTTGCAGCATAGTCCATTGCTGCACTTGTAGATGGCCCTGCACGATCGTCACATGAACTGCAGGCATCTTCGAGTCCTTCTCGGCGGAACACCATCTGAGCCATTGACTGGGCAACCGATCCACGGTACTTGCTTGCAGCTTCAACTGATGCCGCAAGTCTTTGTCTGTACCTTGTGATCGGAATGTCCCTCCATGTCATCGCAGCTCCTTCTCTCAACAGTCTTCGGTACCTTTTCCTTGCTTCTACTCGAGTTGCATCTGGCAATCCAACATCCGGTACTTCGACTTCTCCCGGTATCGGTTCATCGTCCGAGACTGCCGTCAACATGGCAAGCTCGAGATAGCCGGTTTCGGCTTCTCTTTCAGGTTCCTGATGTTCACCCTGTTGTTCCATGCTGCTGATTTGTTTCCCTTTTCCTTTGGATTTTCCTCCTTTACCTTTACCTTTGTTGTTGTTGTTGCTGTTGTTGGGAGGTGACCTGCAATCCTTCTGGTAATGTCCAGCCTTTCCGCAGTTGAAGCAAACCACGGACAGGCTTGAGCCAGAATTGCCACCATGTTTTCCATGTTTTTCACTCGACTTACCTTTTCCTTTTTCTTTGGCCTTGCCTTTGCCTCCATGTTTGCCTTTACCTTTGGAACCCTTTCCACCTTTCTTGCCTTTTCCTTTGCCAAATCCTCCAATGTCCATGTCATCTTCACCTTTCGGTTTGCTGCCAAGTGACTCAATTTTGAGCTTCACTCCAACTCGCGTTTCAAGGTAGCTGGCGAGTTCGGCATGCATGTCATCGAAGTCCAAGAAACGACTTCTGTTAAGTTGTAGGTGTCTTTCGACCTCTGGAGGGCACATGGACTCCAAGATCGACATCTTGATGTCCTGAGCTATGCTCTGTCTATTTCCTGCGCTGTCCTTTCTGCTCTCGTAGCGGTTCACAAGTTCCATCCATCCTTCAATCTTCTCACTGAGTTCCTCAAGCTTGCATTTTCCTGGATTCAAGATGTGCCTCAAGAGTGCCGATTTCTTGGCACCAGTAGATGGATCGTATCGGCGATTGATACGTCGCCAGGCCTCGAGTCCATTGGCCTTTTCTGTATTCCTCAAAATCATGAACGGTTCTCCCTCAAGTAGATTCTGCAACACAGAATAAATCTGTGCGCTCTTATCCTTCAGGTCATCCACTGGACTAGCCGTGCCCACGCCGAAAGCAGCTTGGGCCCGAGCTTCCGTCACAGTGTTTTCCTGTTCTTCACACCAATTCAGCACTTGCTCCATTTCCGGGAACACTGAAAACATGAATGACTCTGTCTTGATTCTCCATCTGAGGTAGCTCTCACTCTCTTTACCACTGAACTTATCCGGCTTTCCAATTCCTCTGTTGTCCACTAGGTTGATTTTCTTTTCATCTTTCTTCATTGCGTTTGCGACTTCTGTCTGTGCTGTTGCTAGTGCTTGAATTGCGGGTCCCATCTGTGCTCCTGCCGCTTCCAATCCTTGCATGCGGCCTTCCAACACAGCGTTCCTTTCTTGGCTCTGTTGGAGCAACTGTCCAAGCTGATTCACTCGATCAGCCAACTGAGCTAACTGCTCTTCCGGGGTAGCCATTGGTATCACTTACCCAAGGAGCCCTTTACCGGAGCCAGAGCTCCGCTACCACTTTCACAAAATATGCACAGCAAACAGCACACTCAACTGTTTTATCCTTGAGCCAAAATATACGTACAACACAGTGGTTGTGTGACAATTATGTGGAGGTGTAAATTTCAACAGATACGATACATTAGTCATAATTTATCGTATTCAAGCCACCATTTCCAGATGTTTTCCCATCATTTTCCCGTACCATGGGATACCATGGGACTCGTCCGCTCCTGCGGCTTCACCTGCGCGAAACTGGTGGCTGCATCTTTGTATCTGCCCGTGGCCATGTTGTACCTGCCACATGGTGCCACGCCATGTGGACACTGCGGAAGGAGAAGGTGAAAGAAGGGCTGGGACGGCTGGGACGGCTGGGAAAAAGCTGGCAGCTTCGGTTTCAAGAAGTCAAAGTGAACAAAACAACGTTGCAGGAGTGCTTCAAACAACGTGCTCAATATGGGGATTGAATATAATAGAATGAGGATACTTGTCTATATAGCTGTTCCTAATTCCATCACACAGAAAACAAGGATAACATGGGGCTGAGTGTTGCGTGACATTTGCCCGTCGATGGCCGCTGGAGACTCAAAACAGACACATCAAGTAGCTCAGGGTCCCTGGCAATCCATAGGCAGCATAGATCTTTGACTGGCTGGAGTCGTCCTTCAGTTGATGGATCATTGCTGAGGCCATTGATGGATTACATCTGCCAAGGCCAGCACTTTGAAGGGCGTGTGGTGCGCTTTGCTGGTGAAATTCTGAATGTCGGAATATTGGCGCCTTGGAGCAGAAAGCTCGTGGCCCTCACCATCGCAACCACTGGGATCATCATCATCATCATCATCATCATCGTTGGTACTGTCCGAAGCGTAGTTGTTGATGGGCCATTGATGGGGAATTGAAGGCTCTCTATGATTTGTGTCCCTCTTCGCCAACAGCAGCATCTTGGCTCAAGACTGTAAAGCTCGAAGTCTAATGATCGTCATGCAGGTAGCAAAAACTGCCTCTGCTGGTGGATTGCTGCAGGTAGCGGAAAAAAAACTGTCTGCAGAGAGGAGTGGAGAAATGCTGCAGATCTGATGAAATCACTGCATATATCTAGCCTTGCTCAGTGAGATTCACAATTCTTCACAGCTAACCTTGAAGCGCTCACCATTCTTTCCATCATGTGACCATCAGACCATCAGTTGTGACAGTTGTGCCTGCGGCTCAACGCAGAACTCCCGGCTCTTCGCCAGGTATTTCTCCGCCGCTGCATAGTCACCCTGCTCCAAACAAAGGTTCGTCAGCTGATGGTAACACCTCAGTTGGCCAGGCAAGCCGTCGTCGAAACCGAGTGTCACGCAACATCTCTCAGTTTTTCGATATGCAAGCATATATATATATATGTGTGTATATATAATATGATATATATATATAATATAGATACATACATGTTTTCTTATCAACCCTGGACCAGAGATGGTTTTGATGCAGGACTACGCATGATTTCCATTAGGACTATTGCTGGCAACGATGGTTTCATGGCTCCGAGCCCCTCGCGCTCGGATGTTCTCTTTCATCTGCGAGCCTCTGGCCTCGGGAACAGCTTCCCAGGCGGGATCGCCCAGGTGGGTTTCATGGTAGTTATTTTTAGTAGTTATTTTTAGTAGTTATTTTTAGTAGTTCCCATCCGCTATCCTCCGCAGGTTTGGATAGAGGTCTCTCCGAGTCTCCCATTTTTGGATAAACCCAAGGCACCCGAGTTCATGGCTGATGGCTGGAGCCACTGACTTGTCCACTGGGCCCCGCGCTTGGCTCAAGTCCTGCTCATAGAGCTCCTTGCAGAGGGATGGAAAGTAAAGACCCCCCAAAATCTGTAAGTGTTGATTGTTGACTCCAGTTCTTTCCTAAAGATTCTAAAATCAGCGGGTTCCCCAAAAAACCCACTAGATGGTGATAGGGTTTTTTGGAAAAAAGACACACGCATATATATCTATATATAATATAATATATATATATATATTATATAATATATATAATATATATAATATATTATATATATACTATATATAATATATATACTATATATAATATATATATAATATATAATATATATATAATATAATATATATAATATATATAATATATAATATATATAATATATATAATATATATATAATATATATAATATATATAATATATATAATATATAATATATATAATATATAATATATAATATATATATATAATATGTGTGTGTGACATATTCATTTTTTGGGGTACCAATGTTATAGGAATGCCTGATGTGAGTTAGGCTCATCTGATTGTCGCTGTCATTGGGGTCCGTCATGTACAACTTTCCACTCAAGTGGTGTTTGGCCAATCAACCGATCAATCTTGGGTACCCTGCACATCCTGCACATACTTGTCAATCTGATGAGTGTGCATGATTAAATTACATATTATCATTATTGTTATAATTATATACATATATACAGATATACAATGTATATATATATATCCCCATTTGTAGCAAAAGATGAAGTCGTGCCAAAGTACCCAAGGTTTCCGGTCTCCCCTGCTAGCGCCTTGAGGATCCCATTCTGCTTCTGGGTGGCTTCCACCTGGCGATGTGAGGTCTTACCCTCTGGTAAACTAACATAACGAACTGGACAATCACCATTTTCAATGGGAAAATCCACTATTTCTATGGTCATTTTCAATAGCTATGTTTGTTTACCAGAGGGTAATGGGAAAATCATCACATGAGGGATTTCAAGATGGATTTCATGGGATTTCCTGCCACTATTTGCCACTCACCAAGCTGCCAGTGGCACCCAAACTTGGTCGAACATGGGTACAGCACTATCATTCCCTTCCAGCAATTCCTGGGCGTTGAAGCTTCGGTTGGTCGGCTGGGGACATGAATCTGTGGGACCCCTATCCCAAATTCATTCAAAAGCACGATCCATATCTAAAGTCCCATACCTACTCTATGTGGATATTTATGAAGTACTAACGTTTGACCCACACCCATATCCCGACGCGAAAGTGCTGACTTCAACAATCCAAACTGGCACATCCTCCGCGGTCCTTGAGGGAGTTGTGGGCTTCACAGTACCTGCGCCATTCACATCCCTTCCTGGCGACTGTCCAACGGCGAAAAACCTGGGGCCCATTGGGGCCCGGACCCTTTGCAGTTTGTAGTCCGCTTGAGAAGATCCAAACAAAGCCTCGAGAAAGGTCTCCGATGACTCCAATCACAACTGCAAAACCGCCAGTTGGAGCATACCATTTGCACCAGCGCCCCCTGGTTTCTGACTTCAAAGCATCGATCTTGAGATTGGTCTTGGAGGTCTGGCGCGGCGAAAGGCTGAAGTCTGAGACACCTGTTTTTCACCAAGCGACTTCTCCTTGACATGAAGAGACCGTTTTTGATAAGTAAATATCATGTCAAACAAAACAAAAACACAATAACACACAAACAAAATACATAGAACACATCATGCACATTAAACCAGATTAAATTGCAGTAAATCCATGTAAATCCGATTTAATCCCTTTCAACTCCCCAGTTCAACTCCATTGAGTTCTTACATGTTCTTACGATCGCCTGCGAGGCGATGAATTGCAGCCTCTGGATGGCACCATGGGTGCCGTACCTGGCGCAACCCAACATGTTCCAAGCAAAAACCGGTTGGGTTTTATAACCAAAATCATCTATCATAGTACACGTTAATGTTTGATAGGCCATCCCCAGAGAATGTGGTAGACCCAGTAATAAACCAGCCCCAAAATCATCGACTCCGGACATCTTCCAACTGTCCTTTAGAGCAGGGGAAAAACCTTCTTAGAAGGGAAAAAAACCCTGCAGAAACTGGGAGACTACAGCCTGTTCATGAGACAATGGCCGCAATCACCCCAAAATCATCATAAACGTTCTTTCTTTTGCTTGAAACCATTTGATACCATCCCCAAATGGGCGGTTTTTGGTATCGTGTCAACCCATTGGGTTTACCAAGGACATGTCATCTTCAACCAATTCCAGGAATAGTAGTTTTTCCCTGAGGTCCTCCCGTGGCCCAGGGAGTAACTTGAGTAACTTGGGGATGGGGATTGGGGCCATCTTGAAGTAGTTGCACATCATGGAAGGATATGCTTACCACCTATCAAGATCATCCGAGTACCAGGTAGGGAGCGCCTGGTAACCGTTTCAAATTCGCGACCACAACTAGCCATAAAACTATGCCAGATTTCCCTTCTGAGCACTGCCCCGTGGTATTGATCCAACCATCGCTGAGTTACTGGTTGCTGTAGGTTTCCAAGTCTTCACTCAGGAGTGAGGCCTCAAATACCGAACCGTACGGCCACACGGTCCCGAGAGGATTCCAGTGGATTCCAGGCATCTTAAACTTGTCTCAAGTGGGTCCACTGGTTTATCTTCATGTTCTCTTTAAAGGAAACAATGACGCATCTCAATTTCTGGATAACTATAAGCAGCTGCGGGCAACTTATATACAATTTCATGTTTTGCAATAGGGCCACAGTGATAGCAAACCTTGATGCCTTAATTGTCGTTATGTGATGTCATGTCATTCTATCCCAATGACATCTTAATCTTACAAGGGCCATAACCCAGCTAAGGTAAGGATCTTCCAACTACAAAATGCCTACCACTTCAGCAAAATGAGCATCAGACCGCCATGGGTGCAGCTAGTTTGCGCTAGCAGGGCAAGCTATTGGAATGAGTTTCGCTTGGGGTAAAACCTGGGGTACAGCTCCTTTTTCTTGGGCGATTCAACTTGAAGGTGGGTGGCAATTCGGAAAAGAGGAAGAATTTTCTCATCAGGACCTTTCGCTGTCTGAATCCACTTTCATCACACATTGCTCCAGCTTGAGCCAGAGTCCAGGCCAAACAGATCAAAAGAATGAATCTGCGTGCGTCTGCAAACCACATTCCCCCAAAACCGGGGCTCTTCCATGGGAATGATGCGATTAACCACTGGATTCAGGGTATAGCCCATTTTTGGACAAACTCTCAGTGGCAGCAGGCTGGGTTTGATATGGCAAGCTTGGGGTTGCAGCAAACCCTGGGCCTTCTGCTTGATGAGAACTGCCAAATCTCCAGGCCTTATCGGATAAGCAACAGGCTCATCTGGAGCCCTGGTCAGTTTCTTAGCTTTCTTAGCTCCAGGCTGTTTGGCTTTGTCACTATGATCACCTTCTCCCTTAAAGATGATCCTTGCCAGAGATCAATGGTTTGAGCCAACCATTGCACATGGTGCTCATCGATTCAACAATGCCTCAGGGCCTCTTCCATTTCCTCTCAATGCATGATTACTGCAACGTGGGGAAAAGGGGAAAGCCAACCACTACATATGTAATCCCCCAAAGGTGACGTTTGCCCCGCATGAAACCACTAATCAACCACTATCAAACCACTACGGTTATAGATGTCATACCGCTACTGATCAACAGTGGAAGCAACCACTACCCCCCACAGCTGGGGAAATATGGCCACGCCGCTGGCTGCGCTTGGCGCTGCACCTCATTCCCGCTTGCCATCCAGGTCTGATTGGCAACGTGACCGCCTTCTTCTCCTTAAACAGTGAGTAGGATGAGATTGTGCATCTAGGGGGCTGGAAACATCCCAAGAAATTATTGGCATCCCAAGTGCACCAATGATCAATTCTTTCATGATTATTGTGGATATGTAAACATAAAGAGATAAACACATATAAAACAAGAACATCAAAAGATATAAAGAGATCATCATCACCATCATCATCATCATCATCACCATCACCACCACCACCATCATCATCATCATCATCATCATCATCATGACCATCACCATCATCATCATCATCATCATCATCACCACCATCACCACCATCATCACCATCATCATCATCATCATCATCATCATCATCATCTCATCATCATCACCATCACCGCAATCATCACCATCATCATCATCATCATCATCATCATCACCATCAGCACCATCACCACCATCACCACCATCATCACCATCATCACCATCATCATCATCATCATCATCACCATCAGCACCATCACCACCATCATCATCACCATCACCATCACCAGCATCATCATCATCACCACCACCAACATCACCATCAGCACCATCAGCACCATCATCATCACCATCATCACCATCATCATCACCACAATCATCACCATCATCACCATCATCATCATCATCACCATCAGCACCATCACCACCATCATCACCATCATCACCATCATCATCAGCATCATCACCATCACCATCACCATCAGCACCATCACCACCATCATCACCATCACCATCACCATCACCAGCATCATCATCATCACCATCACCATCACCATCAGCACCATCACCACCATCATCGTCACCATCATCATCATCATCATCACCATCACCACAATCATCACCATCATCATCATCATCATCATCATCACCATCACCATCACCATCAGCACCATCACCACCATCATCACCATCATCATCATCATCATCATCACCATCACCACAATCATCACCATCATCATCATCACCATCATCATCATCATCATACCATTCCTATGTGTCTGAGGCTGTGTACCTGGTATGGTGCGAAGCCAGGGCCAAGTCGGGTCCTTTCCACCACCACACACCTGGGCGACCACTGCAGACAGGAAGTCTACATTATCAACACATCTGGAGTCTATGATTACCTAAATTGTGTGAATAAAGCCGGTTCTACACTTCTACACTTTATGCGTACCGTAGTTTAAACATCATGTGTACCGAAATTACAATCTATGAATGTATTATAATTATATGTATATTATATGTATATTTTAATAGATGGTGACACACATATATATATATACAATTATATACATGTATATATATATATATATGTATATACATATGTATATATATATATGTATATACATATGTATATATATACATGTATATATATATACACATTAACCATCTTAATTGTTCTTCTTATGCCTGAAATATGTCTGAACTATTTCCATATTTCTTAATACAATCATCTATAACTGCGAGCCAGAATTGTGATCCTTCCCCGGTGATCCAGACATCTGGAGTCTGGGAATTGCATTTGGGTCGACTCAGAGTCTGGGATCATGTGACTCCGTGACTCGCAGACATATTGTGCTTGTTCATAGTACAATTATAGATGTGGCAGAAATTATAGCAGATCAAATTCACACAGTGTGTCGATACTATATATAACCTATGTAGATTTCTGATGATTTCTGCACTCGAGATGATTGAAGGGACTACATTGTCTATGCTTCCATATGATACATTTACTTGAGGTCCTGTAGTCTGCTTCGGAGGTGGCCATTGTATTCGACTGGCGACTTGTATCAAATCGCATCTATCCCAATGCGAACCCCTTTAAAAAAACATCGGGACTTCCAAGAACAGCGTGCGATTTGCAGGAATTCACCTGCGTGATATAACCATATGAACCCCATATAACCCACAATGTATGGTGAGGCACTTGGAGGTCGTTGTACTAGAATCTAACATAATCTAAATAGAAATAAGATGAAATAACCATGGTTTGGTTCAATGTCATCTCCGTCGTTTCAGGTACTTCTAGGATGATTGATCATAATTTGGTTATGCGGAATATCTCACAACTGGGTAGCAAACATGGTGAAGTTCCCGTGCAGAAAACCAACTCTTTCATGCCCCGAAATGGGTTGGTGAGGATGGTATTCCGACAAATTTATATTGTTGTTAGTTCAATGCCCATTTTAGCTGCTTAACGTCCCCATTGCCACTGGTTCAAAACCAAAAACTATGCTACTGCAGTGAAAATCAGGTTTTTTGCTGTTCAAATCCCAAATTTGAATGTTCATTTCCCAGTTCTTGATAATTATCTCACAACATCTCACAACTTTTGCTAGTCAAATCCCCCATTAAGGCTCCCAAAATCATCTCCCGGGCTGCTTACCTGGTGTTGCCTTCCTTTAGCTCCCCCAGAGAGCACTCGATCTCGCCAGAGGGGAGCGATGATGAATGATGGCAACTGGGTTTCTTTTTCAGGAAACATATTCACCGGAAACCATGTTTCAAACCAAAAGGGTGTATTCCTGTAAATGTTCTCATTGACTCTTGGAGACTGCGGATGATTTGAGGCAATTTAAACCATGACCCCATGATTTGAGACGACTTCGGGTGATTTGAGGTGATCTGTTTTAATGATATCAGATAGTTTCAGACGATTTGAGACGATTTCAGCATTTCAGCCTCTCAAATCATGATCCCTTGACAAACAATGGAGGGTCAGCACCAATTCCCAACGAATCCGTGGGGCCTCCAACTCTATCGTTGGCTCCTGGTGCTGCAACTTTGCTGCAGCTGGGTTGACAAATGTCATGCACGAATTTATGAAAAAAGGTGTGGCAAAATATATGTTTGATTGGCATTGATTAGCCATCTTTCAAGACCTTGAAGGCAACGAAATGCGGCCAATGGCACCGTGATTTTTGATAGTGAACCATGATGAACCATCAAATGACCCGTCCTTTTCAGCCGATGGGATCACGGGCAAAGTCTCCAGCTCCGGCTCGTACGCCACACTCAGCGGATCTGCGGACGAAAAGAAGTTCTTGAAGAGCTCGAAGGGATCACCTACATACCTGACATGGGATTGAGATATTTCAATGATTTTCGATGGCTAGTAGAACTACCTACGACTGGGGAAGAGGGAATTGATATGAATTGATTAGGATCATGCCCCAAAAGTAGCAGAAGAGAGAGCCATGATTGCAGGCGGGATGGCGGCCCACGATGAGGTAGTAAAAGGCCACTAAATGAAAGCAGCTGGTCATCTTGTACAACTTCTTTGGGATGCTTTGTCTTGGCTTCAATCGCTGAGCCGTTCACACAACAACATACAAAATCCAACAAAATCCCAAGGCAACAGGCGGTCACTGGTAGGGATCAAAGTCGAGGCCATACGGAGGGTTCCTGCGGTTTGACGCAATGAGAACTCTGATGCAATGCGGAAAAACATGGATAAACTGTGGCTAAATGAATCTGTACATATATCCATATGTCCCATCAAGATTCCCCACATGTTTGCTTCTTAAATCTGCCAATCCGCGGCCAAGGTGCTTGAGGCCGACTTCACCATAGGCGTCATACCTTGAACGGAACTGGAAGAGGGCCACTGGAAACTGCGAGAAATCCAGCTTCGGCAAGGACTAAGGACGGAGCCGTTGCCGTCGCAAGGGGTCTATGAGCACCTTGGTTCAACGGCCGTAGCTGCAGTAACTGCAGTTTTTTGGCATCTGAACTATCTGAACTCTGGTCTCTATGGTCATCTATGGTCTCTGCTCCAGCGGTATGCGTCAAACTGCAGGGAGGCCCTTAATATCCTTAATCTTAGATTTGGAACCCAATTTCGACAGACGACATCTACGCTCAATCTGATCCAATGAGGAGGTCACATCATAGGCTTCAGCGATGTCGCGGAAACGCGATTGAGCTTCCACCTGTGAAGCAGTCTCTGCTGCCACCATCAACTTGAGCTAAAAGATGATGTAAGAAACAGTCATTTTTATACACTGTTGAAGGGTATGATCATACATACCAGTACGATCCGGTACTAGCTTTGCCTATTTATCAAAATCATAAAACCGCAAAATCATTCAAAAACCTCCTTCCAATGCTAAAATTTCTCAGTAATGTCACTGAACCATGGTTGTTTTTTAGGCCCAACCAGCGGGCCGCAACGGTGACGCCCGCAGACTGCCTTGGCCGCGGGATTCTTCTGCGGGTGCCACTTGGCTGCCGCCTTGGTCTGGGGGTATGGTTGGCCTGGGGTCAACGATCGAATCGAATTCGAGATGAAATTGTATGAGATGGTTCACCACTAAAAATGACTATTCAAATGCCCATACTAGTAGAACTAGCAGATTTTAGGTGGGTCTTTTGAAATTTCTAATCATCGCTCAAGTTTGTAAACTCACAGTTTTTGCATTGAAAGAAGCAGTGCCTTCGTTTTCAACCAATGTGATGCCCAGACCCATGTTGGTGCCTGGTTGTAGAAAGCAAATCAATGTAGCGCTGAAAAGCTTTGCTCTTTCCAGCTTTGAGATCTAAGCAGCTACGGTATACTTGGAGTATGATTCTACTCTTCAAAGCATTCCCACCTTCCTAATCTCTCTATCACTTCACTGAGTCCCAAACCCATTGGTAACCTGAACGAATTTCCCGCGTGGTTGCGGATCGAGGAATGCCCAGAAGGGCATAGTAGTCCCGCCTAGATCCCGGCCAAAGATTCGGACCAACTTTTGAGATTCCTTTCTCCACTTGACAGGACCATTGAAACTCCAGCTGCATTGATGGATTTAACATGATTTAACATCAAAAAAAACAAAAAAAAGGATTTCCCAATGACTTCCGGAGGAGACTGACGGACCGTGCATCTTTGACCCTATCCATTGCAGCTGAGAGCCCTACGCCATGGTCGGCCCGTGTCTCAGAAATCAGGAAATGGCATGTGCTTACAGCCAAATGGCCCCAGTGCGGAAGTAGCACAGCCGCAGATGTAAAGTTTCTCCATGAACATGCCAGCTGTTACCCTCCGGAAATCTAACATGGCAGTGGATCCTGCCTGACCTGCAAATGACGTTCCTCTTAAACATGAGGATGTTTCATTTCCAGTGGTGATTCAACACTCCCAGCTTCCGTAAAAATCGGAGAAACCTCGGGTGAATCCTTTGCACTTACGGGATCTTACGGGGTATGGGCCAGAATTATTAACCCCCCAAAAAATGGATGCATTAGTACTTAACGAATCTTTAACACATGACAACTTCTGTAGGTCCATTGACACCTCATTTGTGACCCATATTTGGCGGTGCAGTTCCAGTTGTAAGTGGTGTTGAAATTATAGTTATAGTTAGGCTTATATCATGTTATATCCCAGCAGATCGGTTTTTTTTCATCCCATGGTTACACCAGCTATACATAGCTATACCACTTATAGCCATGAAATCCAGGACCCCAACAGCCCAAAGTAGCCGTCTCTGCGGTCCTCGATCTTGCAACTGTTCCGCAATTCTCGTGCCATCTCCTCGAGTTCCTCCTGAAATGCTCGGAAAGACGAAGGAACATAGGGATCTATGTCTACATGTATTTAATTATAAGTACATACCATACCATACCATTACTTACATTAAATTACAATACAATACATCACATGTACATTTAAATATATTTTATATATACACTCATATATAGAGGTTGATAGTATAATAGTCTCAACCGGATTTTGGATATATATATATATACATACAATATATAATTATACATATTATATATATATATACATAGGTTTCGTTTTTCTAATGCTCTGTTCACTATATTGATCCCAAGCATGAGGTGCTTAAGGTCAAAATGGATCGACAATTCTGTGTGGGTCTTACAGAATTTCTTGATAATTCTTGACTAGGGAAAGATGTCAAACGCCCCATGTGAATGGACTAGTCACGGACTGTAAGTGTAAACCAGTTGGATTGATGGCGATGTCGCACAGCAGCGCTGCGGCTGCAGAGCCCATGTTTCTTCCGCGGCTTTGTCACCATCCTCCGATTCCTGCCCACAACGAGGCACAAGAGCAACTTTCATGGCATCCAACACGATCCAACCTCTGGATTCCCCCTTCCGAGTGTTTCAGTACAGGTTGTTTACCACACGCGGGATTCACTCAAACTGCCAGCTAGTTTGATGTCAATGTGAGAACCAAGGGATTCAACAGGATTTTGACCCATTGTCAGCTTGTGGATGCCCTCCGGAACTCAAACGTGGCAAGGGAACGAACACACGGACAACTGTAAATGTAAATATAACATTTTATAAAAACATATATATATATATACACATACATATAACATATTATATATAATTATATACGTATAGTTATTATTAAGTTACTTTATATTAAATGATATGCATTTCATTCTCTGCCTCGCTGGACTCGGGCTGTGCAGCAGCTGCGGAGGCCAAGGCAGCTGCCGCTGCGCTGTCGGACATCATCTTGGACAAACCTGGGGTCGATGATGGTTAATAATGGTTAATCATGGTTAATAATTGTTATACAATATGATTATATATTATATATATGATTCATCATCAGGAACTTCTTCCGTGATGTCTCGATTTGGGACAATTTGGAGGAACATAGGGAAACAGAAATGGAGACTGCAGCAGTCAGTTTTCACTTTTTCATGGTTTGGGTTTTCAGGGGTTCTTTTCAACCAAATCTGGATCTGGACACTGGGCTGTAAGTCCCGCACTCCTTCGAGCTTCCGTGAGTTTGCTTTGCAGAACTTTGTCCTTTAGAGCTTGAACCTGCCACTTGTGACGCTGGAATGTCCCTTTGGGAAACACCAGAGGAAACAACAGAGGAACCAGTGGTTTAATGGAGTCGGAGGGTTACCCCCTTGGTAATCAACCAACCAATGGAAAAGGACATCTATGGAGTGAGCAATCCAGGCCAAACTTCTCTGAGTTTCTCGCCACTCGCCGGATTGGAGCTTGTATTCCGGCTGCAACCTGCAGAAAATTCTTACTTTCAGCATACCTTGTATCACTATCTGAAAACATTGCAGTTCATCATGTATGTCGCCAAAGGTTCAGGGTCCCAAAAAGGAGAGATCATCGAGTAGTTTGTCCACACATGATGGTCTCACCATATAATCCTGATCGACTATCCGCTTGTAAACGAGTACCCTATGTCAATCGTTTCAGTTGCTCGTGTGGATACTGCCCTGCAGTCTCAAATGGGACCCATCCGAAAGATCTCAAAACCATTTAAAACAACCTCATGTGTTGTGGGGTCCTGATTAATCCCATCCCCTTCAAAAATAAATCCCTGTATGGAACCCTGAAAAGAACAAATCAGCCAGGGGTATTTGACATTAGATTTATCATTACCAACAGCAATTAACCATCATTGGCCGGTTTTAACCTATACTGATACCTATACTAACCAATATCAATAAAACCACACAAGGCGGTGGTGGAAATTTCAAAGGTAGGAGACTATAGGAGAGGTGAGTTGTTATGATGCACGGATGGCAGAGCGAACCTCATCATAAATCGAAAGGTGTTCTCTCGTTGTCTCTCTCTCTCTCTTTTTCCTCTCTGTGCCTCTCTATCTCTCCCTCTGTCTATCAATCAATCAACCAATCAATCAATCAGTCAATCAATCTATCTATCTATTATCTATCTATCTCTAGTTGTAGTTGTCGTTGTAGTTGTAGTCGTAGCTGTAGGTGTAATGCGGCGTAGTCTAATGCAGTGTGGTGTAGTGTGGTTTTAGTGGTAGTTGTAGTGTGGCGTTGTGTCGTGTAGTGTAGTTGAAGCCTGGTGTTGTGTAATGTAGAGTAGTTGTAGCTGCAGTTGCAGTTGTACAGTAGTGTAGTTGTCGAAGGAAATTTAGAAGTCAAACTTCTGACAATATGGGAAGATGAAGCAGTAGAGGTGGGAAGAGTCAGAGAAGAGAAGAAAAAACATATTAAAGAAGAGAAAGTGTCAAAAGAAAGAAGATCAAAGTGCGTGACACTGCGCTTTTCGAACGGTTTGCGGCCCTGGACCGTCGAAAAGTAGGCTCGCTAAAGCGGCGGGTGCGGAGCCATCTAATCAGATGAGAGATGAAAATTGCAAGCGGTTGCGGCGTGAAGCACATGTCAAAGTCAAAATGGCAAAACGCACCATTCTCGAGGCGCTTTTGGAAGTGCACACAACTGTGGCCCGAAGCAGATTTCGAAGTCAAAATGTACAAAACACCTCAGCGTTGGAGCGCTTTTGGAAGTTCAGATGTTCAAAAAGCCCACGCTGTTGTGGCGCGAAGCACATTTCAAAGCCAAAATGCTAAAAACACTACAGTGTCGGACCACTTTTGGTAGAAGAGCTGTTCAAAAAGTGCACGCCCTCCTGGTGCGAAGCACATGTCGAAGTCAAACTGCTAATAACACTACATGTTCGGACCACTTTTGGACGTTCAAGGGTCTTTTTTCGTAACAGGCGCAATGGATTCTGCACCTGGCCAAAAGTGAGTTTCTGCCAGTTGCAAAAGCGATGGCAGGCGTGGTACGTTTGAAGAGGATCTGCAAAGATGCATGTTGCGTGGCAGGCGCAGTACAAGAGACATATACGAGTCAGACATGTTCAGAGGTCAGCAAGCAGATGGGTTGCATTTTGGAGCATCAGATCTTCAGATTTCCCAAGATGATCTTGCATGACAAGTGCAGCACTTCGTATGACCCGGCCTCACTTTTTTCGGTGCAGGCGCAATACTTTTGAAAGATGAAATGGAAAAATCGCAAAACGCATTGGCACGAGACTGCCAGCTCAACATTCAACTTTCCATTTTTGAAGGAAGTTCCGCAGAATTTCTTCGTTTTTGACATTGTCAATGTCAAAATTTGAAGACGTCTCGCAGAAATTCTTCGTTTTGGAGGTGTCAACCTCCATTTTTTAGGAAGTCTCGCAGAATTGCTTCGTTTTTGATGTTGTCAGCTTGAAAAATTGAGGAGGTCCCGGAGACTTGCTTCATTTTCGATAGACAGACGGACAAGCAGACAGACAGGCAGGCAGAGGCGCAGGCAGACAGGCAGGCAGGCAAATAGAGATAGACAGATGGTCAGATAGATAGATAGCTAGATAGACAGATAGATAGATAGATCGATAGATCGATAGATAGATAGATAGCTAGATAGCTAGCTAGCTAGATAGATAGACAGATGGATAGATAGATATAGATAGACCTAGATAGATTTAGATAGAGATAGATAGAGATAGAGATAGAAAGATACAGATAGATGCAGGTTTAGATAGACATAGATAGATATAGATAGATAGACATAGATAGATAAAGATAGGCGTAGATAGATACAGATAGATATAGCCAGATATGACATAGATAGAAAAAGATAGGTGTAGATAGATACAGATAGATATAGAGAGGCATAGATAGGGATAGATGGAGACAGATAGATATAGACAAATATAGATAGATAAAGATAGAGATAGAGAGATACAGATGTAGATAGATCTCGGTAGACATAGATAGATAAAGATAGGCATGGATAGACATATAGACGGATATATATATATATATAGATAGCAAATAGAGATAATAGATAGATAAATATATAAAGACATAGATAGATAGATAGATAGATAGATAGATAGATAGATAGATAGATAGATAGATAGATAGGTGCTTCGAGCCACAATGGCGTGCAATTTTTCATCTCTCATATGACCAAATGGCTCCACACCCGCCGCTTTAGCCGCCACAAAACATATGAAAACACAGTGTTTCGCGATTTTTTTTTACCTTTTCGCGCACCTAGATCTTCTTTCTACTGACTCTTTCTCTTCTGACTCTGTCTCTTCTCGGACCGCTCTCACCACTGTTGCTACATCTGTCCATATAGTCGGAAGTTTAATTTCTAAATTTCCTTCGATTACCAATTGTTATCATTATCAAATTTATCGCATTATGAACCATTATTAACCATGAGCAATCCTCATTAACCATTACTAACCATTCTTAGCGATCTTTAATCGTTGTTGACCTTTATTAACTATTGCTTGCCACGATTGACGACTGTTAGCCATTATTAACGATTATAAACCAATACTGACCAAAAGAAAGCGATACTAACCATGGTTAATCCATGACCCCTGAGGCTCCTTGCCAAACGACTCTGGTCGGGTCGTACGTCGGTGAGCACCCGGGTCTGCACCAGCTTGGAGACCCACTGAAGCACGGCAGGAAAGTGACTGGGGCGATTCGAGTAGAAACGGTGGGTTTTACAACTTCACATTCTAAAACCAGCATGGACGTATTGTAACTATAATATACGTATGTTATGTATATGATGTATATGTGTACATGTATACATGTATACATGTATATGTATATGTGTATATATATATGCATCTATGTCTGTCTGTCTGTATGTATATATGTATGTATGTATGTATGGATGGATGGATGGATGGATGTATGTATGTATGCATGCATATCTGTATATCTGTATATCTGTATATCTGTATATCTGTATATCTGTATATCTGTATATCTGTATATGTATATGTGTATATATATATATATGTAAATATATATATATATCCACATGTTGTTAGGATATCACAAAATGTCCGATTTCGCTTCATTTTTCTGGGGTGTTGATTTTCGATCCAAAAAAACAGAGTTGTGCTGCAAAACGTTCCACCACTGTTTAGATGGTGATTTGTCTTTCAATCTTTCTTGGGATGCCCACCATTACTGGATATTCCTGGGATGGTCCTGGAAGTTGGTGGCTCAGTCGAAACTGAATATGTTGAAACAAACATGGTCTTCCAGGGTAGCAAATGTGGCAAGCATCTCATCATTGATCTCAACATGTGCAAGAATCAATGATTCTTGGAATGGCACATGATCCAAATCATCCCAAATGCATCCATATGCATCAACATATACAGGTCCCCTGGCCCAAATGCATCAAAATGCACGTATTTTCCCGCTGAGCCATGTTTTGCCGCCAGTGACTCACATATTTTGATGCAATCACGATGATTTTGGATCCTTTCTTCTTTCGTCATTCTCAAAGGTGGTTCTACCCGCTGTACCAATTAAAGGTGGCAACTTCGGCCCCCAACCGACTGGTCGTTGCGCTCTAGAGCTACTTCTGCTTCCACCAGGGCCTGTAGCGTCTAAGTTGGGTACCAAAATGCTGAATGCCGCAACAAGTTGGCACTTTTAATGGCGAAGATGATGCGTACAAACCCAAAATTTGGGTTTGCCTGAAAATTTGGGCAGAATTTTATTTGATGAAAGCCCATGCGATAAAATAGTTAGGGAATCTGGCATGAAAGAGAGTGATATTGTGCTCGTTTGCTCTTCATGAATCTTTAACTGCTCTAGCATCTTACATACCAGTTGTTAGAAAACATAAAGAAGGAACAATGATTCCACTAAATTTGCTGTATCATCATTTCCCCCTCCCCAAAAAAACATAGCCACAACTTGCGGGCCCATCCCCCTTTCAGAAACTGGCGTATCACCAATGCGCCTCGGCATCGGCAACCAAACTGCCAAAAGCAACCGCTCGGTATTGGAAGGCCTCGAGCAATGAGCATCCATAGCCATGCGCCAAAACAACTTCGCACACTGCCACAGATGTAAATATACATGTGAATATATACGTGTATACATAAATATATATGTTTATGTAGATATAGATGTATGTGTATGTATATGTATTTGTATATAATATACATTATATATAAACATGTATATATGATTATATGTATATATCTATGTGTTAATATATATATGCATACATATATATATATATATGCATATATGTATATGTATGTATGTATGTTTATATAAATATATATGCATATATATATATGCATATATGTATATGCATATAAATATATATATATGCATATATGTATGTATGTATGTATGAATGTATGTATGTGTATGTATGTGTATGTATGTGTATGTATGTGTATGTATGCGTATGTATGCGTATCTATGCGTATCTATGCGTATCTATGCGTATGTATGCGTATGTATGCGTATGTATGCGTATGTATGTGTATGTATGTGTATGTATGTGTATGTATGTGTATGTATATGTATGTATCTGTATGTATCTGTATGTATCTGTATGTATCTGTATGTATCTGTATGTATCTGTGTGTATATGTATGTACATGTATGTATGTATATGTATGTATATGTATGTATATGTATGTATATGTATGTATATGTATGTATATGTATGTATATGTATGTACATGTATGTATGTATATGTATGTATATGTATGTATATGTATGTATATGTATGTATATGTATGTATCTGTATGTATCTGTATGTATCTGTATGTATCTGTGTGTATATGTATGTACATGTATGTATGTGTATGTATGTGTATGTATGTGTGTATGTATGTGTGTATGTATGTATGTGTGTATGTATGTATATGTATGTATATGTATGTATATGTATGTGTATGTATGTATATGTATGTATATGTATGTATATGTATGTATATGTATGTATATGAATGTATATGTATGTATATGTATGTATATGTATGTATATGTATGTATATGTATGTATATGTATGTATATGTATGTATATGTATGTATATGTATGTATATGTATGTATATGTATGTATATGTATATGTATGTATATGTATGTATATGTAGGTATATGTAGGTATATGTATGTATATGTAGGTATATGTATGTATATGTAGGTATATTTTGTTGCTTTGCTCTCCTCCGATTTTCTGTCTTTTGATTTAATTTAATTAATTTAGTTAATTTAATTAATTTGATTAATTTAATTAATTTGATTCGTTTAATTAATTTAATTAATTTAATTAATTTAATTAATTTAATTAATTTAATTAATTTAATTAATTTAATTAATTTAATTAATTTAATTAATTTGATTAATTTAGTTAATTTAATTAATTTAATTAATTTAATTAATTTAATTAATTTAATTAATTTAATTAATTTGATTAATGTAATTAATTTAATTAATTTGATTAATTAATTTGATTCGTTTAATTAATTTAATTAATTTAATTAATTTAATTTAATTTAATTAATTTAATTAATTTAATTAATTTAATTAATTTAAATAATTTGATTAATCTAATTAATCTAATTAATTTAATTAATCGTATTACGAAACATGGTAAAAAGTGCCAAAATGCCAAAACGGCGAACAATTGCCAAAATTTGCAAAAGTCACCAAAATTAGCTCATAGTCAAATAAGCAAAAATGACAAATTTTGCCAAGAATTGCCACATGTGGCAAAATTGACCAAATTTGACAAATAAGCACAACTTGCCAAAACTGCAAAAGCATCCTGAATTTGCAAAGCCTACTATACATTCAAATTTATTCCTTTTATTAGTGTCGCCTTCTCCAATTTCTATTATGCCTTCTTGTCCTCCAGCATTTTTCCCCTTGCTTTGATGGTACTATTGGCAAGCCAAGTCCAAATTGTCTTTGTTCCACTTTGGGAAAGGACATTGATTAGAAGCCAAAGGAGGGTTTCCTGGAGCACACATGTTTAGGAATGTTATGGCCACTGTTTTTGTCTGATTCAATTCCGCGGTTTAGGCAGTAAAAAATATAGCTTTACACTTTACACATGCGTAAATGGAACATGTGAACAACAAAGGAAGAAGAAGAGGCCGAGGACAAGAAGAAACACTACCCGCCGCACATGCGTTACACCTCACAGGTATTCCACTATATACATGTTCACAGGGTTTTTGCAGGATTTATGTAGGATTTCTTTAGGGTTTCTTTAGGGTTCATTTATGCTTTCTTTAGGGTTAATCTAGGGTTTTTCTAGGTTTTTTATTGGTTTATGTAAAAGAGTGACGAAAACTAATCTTTGGAGACAGCCGAAGATCCGCAGAGGGTCATCAACAACGTCTCTGGGTTCGCAAACCCAAGAGTCATCAAGTTATAACACCCCAACACATTGGAATGCCACAAAGTACTGTAAAGGTCACCAAAAATGAGGGTTCAAGAGAACAGGGAACCAGAACCGAAAAAAAATAAGCTGAAGAAGCAAAGCTTCGTGTCATTGTTTGAACATGCACGCGGCAAACAACCTTAAGCCACACACTCTACGAGCAGGATGAGAAACAAGAGCAAGAAGAGGATATGAACGTGAAGAGGATAAAACTAATCGTGAATAGTGTGAATAGTATACTGCGCATGAAAGCCTTCGTTTTGTGATTGTGATGGGGCCCTTGCAATCTTGGAAAGGCAAGGCCAGGAATAAAGAGAACAGCAGAAAAAAATAAACAAAAAAGAGGACCAAACGGAGCTGGAAGAGAGAGATGAAAAAGGGCAGTGGGGAGAGGATCCAGTGTATAGTGTGCATCACGTAACTCACGTATGAAAGGCCCCATTTTGTGCCCATGACAGGGCCCTGTCAACTAGAATCTGAGATGTTTTTCTGTCTTCTCTTCCCTTTGACCCTTTACATTGTCTTTTTTATTTGTTGTTCCTCCTTTCCATGTCCTTTTTCCGTTTCCTCCTGCCGCTCCTTTTCTCCCTTCTTGTTTCCCTGCTGTGCTATCGTTTCTCCGGTTTGCCTTGTTACATTCCAGTCTCTGTCTCTTCTCTCTTCTTCTTATCCTTATTTGTTTCGTTTCCTTTTTCTATTCCTTTGTTCCTTTCTTTTTTGGGTCTCTTTTCCCAAGGTTTATAGCGCCCTTTAACAGTGCCAAAATGCAGCTTCGTATCCGTTGATTGTTTCCTTTTCCTTGTCATTTGTTTGTTTGCTTCTCCACTTCCATTGTCATTTTGGGGCCTTCCTTGTTCTTTTTCTTCTTATTTGCCTTCACCTCTTTTTGTTCCTTGTTTCTCCGGTTTCGTAACGATATCCCTTTTACTCTTTCACTATTTTTTGCACTTCAAGTTTCTCTTTCTCACTCTCTTCCTTGTCAATTTCGTTTCAATTTTCTTCTCCCCTTCTGCTTCCTTTTCTAGTTCCTCTTCCAAGAGTTCTTTTGGCAGCCCCTTTTCCAAGATTGAGTGGGGACCGTTCCTGCACTAAAGCTTCTTTGCTTTAGCAATCTCATTTTCGTTTTCTTATTCCAATTTCACGTCGTTTGTATCTAACCCTTACTCGGTTTTTCATTACAGTATTTCTCCTGTTTGTCTTTTTTCCTTTGCATGTGACTTTTTCCTTATTTTTTTTTAACTTTTCGTAACACTTTCCTTTTTGCTATTTCACTGCTTTTTTCTTTTTCAAATGCACCTTCTTCCTTTGTCTTTATTGTAATGTTCCTTCTCCCCTCTTCCTTCTCTTGGAAAGGAAATGCAGCCAGGATGAGGAAGCAGAACCGGAAAGACCGGGCATAGTGGGGCAAAAGAAGAAACAAGACCAGTGAAGAGGAGAGAGTACAAAGGAAGCAAACAAGGAAGAAACACATGCAAAACGCCGAAGCAGATTGGAAGAGAAATTTTACCAGGAACAGGGAGAGGAGAAACGAAAAAGGAAAAGGAAGAGTTTGGAATTGGGAAGAGAAAGAAGAGTGAGAAGAAGAAAACAGGGAAAGGTTAGACGAGAAAACAAAAGCAGAAAGAAATTGTAAAGAACAAAACATTGTTTTAACAGGGAAGAGGAAGTAGAAGCGGAAACTAGACTCTACTGAATAGCGGGAAGATGGCCGAGAGCATAGAAAGAAAAGGGAAAGCCAAGAACTCAAAACAGAAACAAACATACTGAGAAAATGGTAGTCCCAGTCTGGTCTAGTGGAGTGTAGTTTGGTCAAATTATTTTAATGTGAGTTACTTTAAAGTAGTTTAGTCTGCAGTAGGTTAGTCTATTTTCATCTGATTCGGTCTAGTTTAGTTTAGTTTAATTTGGATTAATCTAGTGTAGTCTAGTTTAGCTTAGTTTAGTCTATTTCACTGTACTATTTCGCGTAGTTTCATCTATATAGTTTAGCCTACTTTAGAATAGTTGAATTTAGTTTAATTGAATTTAAACATGACGAACATAAACTAAACTAAATTAGACTAGAGTGGACTCATAGACTAAATTTGATTAAAATGCACTAAAGTAGACTGAAGTAGGCCAAAAGTAGGCAAAACTAGACTAAATTAGATTAAATTAAATTAAACTAGACTAAACCAGACTATTAAACTAGACTATTAAACTAGACTATTAAACTAGACTAAATTAGATTAAACTAGACTAGATTCGCTAAACCAGACTACTGTAAATGATTCCACCGTAGACTAAAAGCAGGCTAAAGTAAATCACACAAGACTAAAGTAGACTAAACAAGATGAAAGCACATGAAAATAGATTAAACTAGCCTAGTATAGTTCCAAGTAGATTGGATTAAACTAAGCTAGACTAGACTGAAATAAACTAAACTAAACAAAACAATACTAAACTAGATTGCAAGACAAGACTAAACTAGACTAAACTACAGTAAAGTATACTAAAATAGATTAAGAAAGACTGAAGGAGACTGAAGTAGAAGAAAGTAGGCTAAATTAGACTAAACTGGATAAAGCTAGACTAAATTGGATTAAGCTAGACTAAAACTAGACAAAACTACACTAAGCTACACCAAAGTAGACTAAACACAACAATTTTCGATAAAACTAGATTGAACTAGGCTAAATTAGATTATTAAACTAGGCTAAACTAGGTGAAATTACCTTAAAAAAGACTAAATTAGACTAAGCTAGACTTAACTACACTAAGCTAGATTAAACTAAATTAGAGTGAAATAAATGAAACTAGATCAAGCTAAACTAAACACAATTGAACTAAACTGAAATATTCTGAAGTAGACTAAAGTAGATTCAAGTAGACTAAAATAGACTAAGTTAAGCTAAACTAGATCGAAGAAAACTACGTACAGTAAACTAAAATGGAAAAATTGGACTAAACTAGTCTAAAGTAGATTAAGTTTAACTAAACTAGACAAAACAAGATTAAATTAGACTAAATTTGAATAAAATTACATTAAACTAGACAAAACTAGGCTAAGCTGGGCTAAACGAGACTAAACTACACTGAATTCGATTAAGCTGGACTAAGGTAGATTAAATTAAACTAAACTACATTCTATTAGATTTAGATTAGATGAAATCAAGCTAAACTTGACTAAGTTCGGTTCAGCTGAACTAAGTTGGATTGATTTTGGACGAACTTAGATTATACATTTAGGATAACAAAGATTAAGTTAGATAATAATTGGATTATATTAGAGTAAATTAGATTAAACTAGGTTAAACTAGATTCAATTAGGCAAAACAAATCCAACTGGGCTAAAACTACACTAAACTAAATTAAATTAGACTAAACAAGACTAAACCAGACTAAAATCGACTAAGCTAGACCAGATTAAATTCTATTATGTAAACTAGATAGACTAGAGTAAACAATGCGCTAAAGTAGACTAAAGTAGATTAAATTGGACCAAACTAGACTAAACTAGACCAAACTAGATTAGATTAGATTAAAATGGACTAAACTAGACTAAACCAGATTAAACTAGAGTAAGCAAAACCACCTGCATCTAAATCTACACCTGGACTAAGTTCAACTAAGCTGAATTAAATAAAACAAAACTAACCCAAACTAGAATCAACTAGGCTAAACTACACTAAAGCAGACTAACGTAGACTAAACAGACTAAACTAGACTCAAGTAGGCTAAAGACTAAAGTAGCCTAAAGTAGACTGAAGTAGACTAGAGCGTGCTAAACTAGCCTAAAGTAGCCTAAAGTAGACTAAACTATGCTCAACTGGACTAACCTAACTTCGGCTAAACTAGACTAAACGAAATTAGACTAGACCAGACTGAACTGGGCAAAGCTGGACTAAACTAGGCTAAGCTTGGCTAGACCAGACTAAACAGAATTTACCCACGCCAACTTGAACTAAATAAGACTAAGCAACACTAAACTAGACTGAATTAGACAAGGTATATTAAAAAAGGCTAAATAAAGTAGACTAAACCAGACCATCCTAGATTAAATTGAACTAAACTATATGAGAGTAAAGTAGGCCAAATTAGACTCAACTAGTTTAGTTAAGTTTAGTCCACTTTAGTCTTTTTTGAGTCTACTTTCGTGTAGTTGAGTCTAGTTTGTTACTATAATTTAATCCATTTTAGCACAGTTTAATCCAATTTGGTCCAGTTTATATAATCTAATTGAATCTAGTTTGACTGAGTTTAATGTACTTTAGTTCTCTTTACCCCACTTTGGCCAAATTTTGTGCAATCTACTATGTTTTAATCTAGTTTCGTCATGATGTGTAGTCTAATTTCATTTAGTCAAGTTTTGTCTAGTTGAGCCTAATTTAGCCTAGTTTAGCTTAGCTTAATCTAGTTTACCCTAATTTAGTGTCACGTAGTGTTTGATTTTCATAAGCATCAACATTTAGATATAACATTAATTATATAGCTAGTCTAGTTTAACCAAAAACAAGCTCAGTCCAGCTTAATCCAGTTTCCTCAGTTTCAGTCTAGTTTAGCCAATCTTTGTCTACGTTGGTCTACTTTAGTCTAGTTTAGCCTACGGTAGTCTACTTTAGCCTATTTTAGTGTAGTTTAGCCCGCTTTAGCCTACTTCAATCTACTTTAGGCTACTTTAGTCTACTGTAGTCTACTTTAGTGTAATTTAGCTTGGTTTGGTCTAGTTGAGTCTAGTAGAGTCTAGTCTAATCCAGTTTAGTTTAGTTTAGTCCAGTAGTCTAGTTTTAGTCTAGTTTAGTCTACTCTAGTGGACACAAAAGAAATGAACAAGTTAAACGACCAAAGGAGAAGAAAAACAATAGCATTACATGCTTGTATGCATAGGAACGAAATAGACCCCAAAGGTCCCTGCCACATATATATATAATTAAATATATATATATGTTTGTATGTGGGCATATGTATTCATCAATGTATAGTATATATATATGTATGTATACTATGTATAATATACATACTGACTCTCGTGGCCAATAGACATGGCCAAAACATGGTGGGTCAAGATTGGGGTACCAATGGACCCATCCACGCCTTCCATTCAACCTGGTCCAGAAGTACCTCATGATGCAGGAGGTGAAGGGACCCATTTCCGTAGAAAATTAGGGCTCTTTGGAGTTTAGAATCATTCAAAGTTACATAATGATCATGATGATAAAATAGTAAAAGTATGTAAAAGATTGTAAAAGTCTATTCTGAAACCCACATGATCTACAACGACTTGGATGATCATTGATAATCATATCATGCGCACGGTTTTCCACGGACGCGTCCCAACAGGACATCCAGCTCTTGGCCATCCCACCAGGTCCAGTTCGAAGTCGTTCTCAAACTCCTGGCGCAGCGCGCAGCGCCGAAAAAAATCGACATATGGAGGTCACGCCAGGCGGAGAAACCAACGGCCTCTTCTGAGCTGGAGATCACTTCCATGTCATCCTGACATTGGCTTTAGATGGTTTGAGGTCAAAGGGTAGGGTACAGAATCTGAATTTCTGGGTCGTGAAGTGATACAGGGAGCACACTTACTGTCTTGTAAACAAGTCAAGAGGTTCATCATGGATGTTCACGCCAGAAATCTGCTCTCTACTTGGGTAAATATCATGATGCTTGGCATGTCTGTGTGGCAACAGCGCCGTTTGGAAAATTGGGGGATACCCGGTTTTCATCAGGCTTCCCTTAAAAATGACATGTCGCGCAACTGGGACTACTGGGATGGATCAAAATTAGTACTTCAATAAGTGGATCATTGATTCATTAGATTGGTTTACTGGAAAATTTACAGGACACCCCCATATTTTCCATGGTAAAAACCATGGTTTCCTGTAGATTTTCCCTTAAACCAATCCAATGATTGATACAAAAAAGGGGCACACAATTCTGGTTCTCTGGGTCTCAAACATTGACCATTTCCAGTGACTGTCACTGGTGGCTTGATTGATGAAAATATCTTGCGCCAAGCGACCATCACAATTTCCTAGTCATGTCCTCTCTTTGCTGGTTGTAGAATATCAACTCTCCAAAATTGGTGGATACATATATAAATAAAATATTATATAATTAATGATATATATATACATATATATATATATATGTCAATCCAACAAATTGTGTCAGAGTTCACTTTTTCTATCGCTTTGGTGACTAATGGTAGAGCTGTTTTGAATGACATCTCCACTGCGGCCTGAGAGACGCTGGAGAGAATGGCCATCGCATGCATCGCTTCCTGGATCTGTCGATCCAACTTTTACCATGTTACTCGAACTGTGCATAGACATATCATGACATGTATACGTAATACGAGTACCTTATATTGAACAGATATGAATATATACATATATATATATACACATGGGTATATTGAATAGATATGGACGTGTCTGCGAATCTAAGTCATTCTAAGTCTAGCATCCAATCCGTACAGCCTGCAACTCTGCTTCCATCAGGATTACAGCAGCGTTGCTGGGCTTGCAAAGGTCCTGGCAGCAGATATCGCCACCGTAAAATACGTATAGGTCATGTCTACATCATAATCATCATATATAATACGTATTAATACGTAATGGAATGGAATGGAACGGAATGAACTGTACTTAAGTCAGGAAGTAAGGATGTAAGTGTTTATGTTTATAGGCCAAAATAGTGGCATTATACTGGACGTATTGTTTTCAAGCTGAAAACATATTCGAGTTCGAGTTCCGACATGTCAGGTGGACTGCCCAGTCTTGGTGCGAAAAGAACTCATTGGCGTACTGCATGAACGTCGGAGGCCCTCGGAGCACGTGCCACGCACTCTGCAAGGTGTGACTAACTTTGGAATAGTGGATACTTTGAGAGACGTTACCTCAACCATCTGGATGGATTTGGGTTTCACAAAAAAAGACTACAGTAGACAATGACATCATAGATTTGAAGCTTTACCCTGTTTTTTCAACATGTGGGTTCGTCTGAAAGTAGTGGATTTATATATATATATAGTCCCAACATCGGTCCGTTTTGAGGGGTGAAATAGTTTTCTGGAAACCACGATCAACCTGTCAACATGTTGGTTTCCCCTAATTTTTTCAAGTACCCTCTGGTTATTTAACGTAGCCCCTATTAAAAATGGCCCATTTATAGTAGCTTACCTATTAATAGCATGGTGATTTTCCATGGCTATGTTAAATAACCAGATGGGAAATATCATGTAAAATATGGTAAAGTGACCCATTTCCAGCCCATTAACCAGAGGGTACCAAACCATTTTTAAATGACATAGCCCTGGAAAGCCTGGAACGATCCCATCCTGGGCATCCAAAGCCAGGTTTCACACCAGATTCGTTGAAGTCGATGGCCTCGCATCGCGTCTAAATATTTGATATGATTCATCAACATTCATCATAGATACACATAATATATATATGTATGTATGTATGTATGTATGTATGTATGTATGTATGTATGTATGTATGTATGTATGTATGTATGTATGTATGTATGTATGTATGTATGTATGTATGTATGTTGTATGTATGTTGTATGTATGTATGTATGTATGTATGTATGTATGTATGTATGTATGTATGTATGTATGTATGTATGTATGTATGTATGTATGTATGTATGTATGTATGTATGTATGTATGTATGTATGTATGTATGTATGTATGTATGTACTTATGTACTGTATGTATGTATGTATGTATGTATGTATGTATGTATGTATGTATGTATGTATGTATGTATGTATGTATGTATGTATGTATGTATGTATGTATGTATGTATGATGATATAGACGTAATATAGACATGTATAATCAATTGACATGAATTTAATCATCTGATCATTCCACATATAGACAAATTATATAGACAACTTATATAATAACATATTATATGGACATACAATATAGACATATTATATAGACATATTATACATATACATGTACTAGGGTACGAGGGTAATATTGGCGAACTGTGATCTTCCAAAGTCAGAGGCTGCTCAATTCGCTCAGTTCCAGACCAAGGCCCGTTCCAACTGCCAACGTTGGGCAGCAATCGACTGAGCGTTGCCGTTGCAGGACTGTATTGCAAGAGGTGCCGAACTGTCTCAAAATTGATCAGCAAAATTCAGGGTGAATCATCATTTTTCATAACTGGTTGGTGGTTTCAACTCCTCTGAAAAATATTAGTCAGTTAGTTCCAAACCAGCAACCAGCATAATGTTTCCCTATGTTAAAAAAAAACTTTTGATCCATTCTGGGCCCCAATCCCCCATCTTCCAGGCCTCTGGAACGGTGCCCAACTGTCGATCTAAGGCCAGGCGTTTCACCATGCCTGGCTCATGGGATACTCCCCAAAAATGGATGTTTGCTCATCACAAAATGATCATTTTGCCATATTTTGCCCGTGATTCGGCACCTCGTAGGGCGTAGCCCCACAAGATACCTGAGCGGAGAGAAAAAAAACTCTTCAATCATCTCGAAGAATGGGTGGTACCTGTGGGGTAGACATACAAAACGATGTGGAAAACGCATGGTAAGGAAATAGTGGGTTTTCCACATCTATCTTAAATATTATAGGAAATACATTCATATTATATGATATTATATGTATTATAATATTCATATTATATAAATTATATAAATACTAGGTTGAATGGCAAGGATTCACCAGAGATGATATTCCGAAGCATCAATTACAGCAATGTCGGCTAGGAAAGACTAATTTCCCTATACATCATCCCCATACTACAGTAAGATGCTGGACGAGTGGGTCCAAGAATTCAGAACGAAAACACTTCGATTCACCAAACATGTTTTTCAGTGAAGACTTGGTTCACCCGTCACAAAAAAACCTCTTCTGTTCTCCACGTTTTGGCCGCTGATGTCGGCACTCCTAAGGTCCAGGCCCACACAATACCTGAGGCCCAAACCGCTGTTCGAATGTCAATGACTTTGTGAAGAAGTGGGAGTCTTACGTGGATGGACTCATTTGCAACAAACAAGTCAATTAAACGAAGAGCATAGCCTCCTCAAAAAAAAACTTGTTGCCTCTGGGGACATGACAAGTGCCATGGTGTAGCCACCTAAACCCTCTCCAAACCAAGACAAACGAAGGTCAACACATGTTTCGCATCATCGACCACCAGAACTGGTGTCCAATCAAAGTGCAACCCGGTCACTGTATGCTGGCTTGCTGCGGTGGAGTTGATATCATGACCCTGAAGCAACACGTCAGAGGTTGCTTATATGGTTGCTTGTTGATTTGCATCCACAGAGTTGAACATGTCATTCTTTTGCATGTCGGGATATGTCGAACCCTGGTACACTTGTGAGTGTTGACCGGGGATGGCGAGAGAATCATGACTTGAGTAGGTCAACCTTTCATGTCAACCTCTAACCAAGGCCAACATCACCGAAGACACAATAGCGCCAAAGAGCTCCAAATGCCAATCCGAATCCTTCCAATCATTTTTTAAATATGTTTTGATGAACATTGCGATCCTCTCAAAGCCCCCAAATCAACTTTTGCTCCCAGCACTTCCATTCCTTCACCATCCACAGTGGCTGGCCCCAACCATGCCAGCATGGCCCATCAAAGGTCTCGTCCTCAATGAGGTGACTCTCATCTCCCCACCTCACACTCGGTGGGGTGGATTGGTGGCTGGGCAATCCGGGACCGTGTTTTGGATGTGAATTGTGGATGGACAATGCAAAGACATGATGGAAACATATGGAAACATCGACTGCACTCAAGAGTTTCTTGGAAACTGCAAAGATCCTCGGAGCAAAGAAGACCTGTTCCTACTTGTCTTGTCAGTAGATTCACCCATGCACCTGTGGAACTTAGGCACAGGTCACACGAATAGCCCAAAGGGAAAACCCAACAACACTCTTCCATTGTACAGTGCGATTCCCTTGAAACATGTTCATTTTATCAAACCATATCAAATTATAAAAATGCAAGTCTGCAGGTTCCATAGTCCATAAGGATCCAGAAGGCATCTTACATTCCTGTGGCAGTGGGATGCTGTTTCCTGTGGTACATCCCCTTGGGGATTACATCGCCGGGAAACGTTGCAGTCACATAGGCATCCAGGATTTTCTGCGTTTCCTCCTCCTTGACCACCTGAATAGTTGTGCTTTGCATGTGGCCCACTGTCTGAAAATGGGATACGCCAATTGAGGGTTGGAGGGTATACCGCGTATTCAGTTTTCAATAACTTCAATGAGAGATATGGCTGGCTGTCCCATGGAGCGAAGAACGTCTCGTGGCTGAATCTGCATCCAAGTTGGATGGTTGCATGAGTGGGTAAAGATACGTCATCAATTGCCAGTTCCATGGAAGACATGCGAATTCGTATCTCTGGCTGAAATTCACAAAGCTGATATAAGAATAGTCCCCGCCTACTATCATATACACTGGCATCGTGGCAACGTCGTTAGAATCCACATATGATATATGTAATATGATACATATGTATGTGTATATATATATATATCATACATACGTATGTATACATATATATATATATACATAAAATATTTTTATGTACACACATATTACGTATAGAAACATACAATATCATACAATCACATATATATATACACATAATAAAATAAAATAAAATAAAATAAAATATAATATAATATAATATAATATAGTATAGTAAAAAATAAAATGACATAAATACTATATGTATATATAACCATACTATTGTCGATCTTTCTCCAAATTAGGCTGCCCGAAGCTGCACAGCCCAATCCACCCACCCTTGGCACATGCCATTGCCTCAGGGTCAATCCCCGCCAGTGCCGCCCGCACCACATCCGTTGGGTGCAGGCCCGGGACGCTGGCCTGACTGGGATCCGCAGGTGAAATCAGAAACACCAGAAGTTGTTGATGTTGAAAGCCTAGAGCCAAACATAGCCACCCTCAAATCCACAAAAGAAATAGGCGGCTTTCAATGGTTGGTCCTTCTCTGACATGTGGGAGCTTTACTGCGCTTCTTCTCCATAAACCATGACTGGTTGAGTTGCGCGAAACGTTTCGGGAAGCCATGGGCGTTAGATAAAGCCATGGGCGTTAGAATCTATATATCATAATGGTTCATGTTGTGGTTCATGTTGCGGTTCCCTGTCAATGATCCCTCAAATAAAGTCTGGGAAACAAGGCTAAAATTGTGGTCAACAAAATGTTTGACTTGCCATCAACTCTTGCCATCAGCACCACCCCTTGCGGCGCAGCCCCGCAGTGCAACCTTTCTCAACGCGAGGCGAAAGGTGACAGGTGGTTGATTTCACCACTGACGATCGGACCGATAGGACATGATCTGCTCCTTAGTCGGACTAGTTGATTGGGATTCTGTACATGTACCGTTAATATAACATAATATAACTATTAATATATACAATTACACTATTACAGTAATTCACCAGTGAAATGTTTGGCCGTTTTGGGATACACTAGTTACCTTCATATCATTGTGACATCGCAGTGAGGTCAAACAATGTCAAACATTTACCAGTTCTACAACTACGAAGTACGGGCCCGTCATTTTAGTGATTTCAATAGGCCGTGAGCACAGTGTGGTTGACACTGGTTGACCACCTCAGCTGATATCGCCGTTCTGAGGAGTGGTCTCCATGCTTCTGAAAGAGCTCCAAGCGTTGTTGACATGTGACCTCTGTGGCAACCGACCAAAGGGTCACCCAAACACAAAATATGGGCATGGATCAAAAGTTGAGGCCGTGAGAACGACAAATGGTCGTTTTTAGTCATCCCATCCCCTATGTAACACCATCAACAAGGGACCCTACAGTAAAATGAATCCAAGACCAAGCCAGGGTTTATGGCTGTTTTTTTCGGGATTTTAAGGGTGATATTCTGATAGGGTGGGATTGGGATGCCAAAGCAATTTGACCCATATCCGACCCATGGACCCATAGCTGATCCCGGCCATAAGTGACTTCCGAGCAGTCGGCATTGCATCTTTCAAGGCACACTTGCCGATAGACATCCACCTGGGCGGGTGCAAGGCAGCAACGAAACGATGCCCATTTCACCTACCTATGTATTGTTCATTGTCCTGCACATTTAATGTGATTTTTGGGGTAATTGCTAGCTACGAGTACTGTTGTACATTGACACAAGGCTGTCATAGATATAGATGTAGATAGTATGGGATGGATATACCCTCTGGTGATTCAAAATAGCTGCAAGTATGGAGAAAACCAGCATTTTTTATAGGTAAATAATCCATAAACAGGCCATGTTTCATGGCTATGTTAAATTACCATACAAAGGGTAGATGACACCCCGGAAATCCACCAGGCTCCCACACATCCAGGGTCACCTCCGATGCACACGTCTCCTGGCCCTGTCATTTCAGTGCATGGATGTGCAATGTGATGCAATGTGTCAATCTTTCCCAGGCTCAATCCTCCATTTATAGTCATTTCTGTCTTCCTATCTGGTCCTATCTTACAAGAAATATCAAGAAATTTAACCCACAAAAATCCCACATATGGCCTGTCCGCATGCGAAGGGTCTCAAAGTGGAGACGGCCGTTCCTTGGCCGCTGCTCTGCCGTCTGAACATGGCAAGTGAATGGGCTACAAAAGAATGCAGCCTTTGAGGGTAACTGAAAACTCAGGTACTATTTTTAGATCATATATATATAATTATATATATATAATTATATATATATATAATTATATATATAATTATATATATATAATTATATATATATAATATATATATGTACACGTCTTACAGTATATAAATTTAAGGATTGATGACTCTCACTCGTATTCTTGCAGGGGACTTGGATCTTTCAAAAGGGGTCAAGAGTTCTGAGCCAAGGCCATAGTTTTGGCCATCTTGGCACTCAGGAAGTCCTTCGGACAATGCGAAGCCAAACACTGAAGATAGTTAGGACACTTGGGGATGAAGGGCACCAAACCAAATTTCTTGATTCATTTCCATTCATTTCCATAATTTTCATTAATTTTCCGATTTAAAGTGTCACTGTCACTTCAGGATTGCTGCAGGGCTGCGTTTTTTGTTGCCAAGTGACTCGAGGGTGTAAAATTGGACACCCTCTGCGAGCAATCCGAACCTTGGATTTCAAGCCATGTGTTTGGGATGCAGGCCCATCATGGCTCTTCAATCTGTTGGGGACATAACTCGCTCTACTGGATGGTCGCTGGATGTCTTTGGGAACTTTCATCAGCAAAACTAGGAATCTCAACAGTCCACCGACTGAAGTGCATGAAAAGATCCGTCTTAGACAGCGATGAATCCCAGCGAAGTGGTGATTTGAAACCCTAAAGAAAGAACCAATTGAATCATTACCGGAATACAGGGTAATATCTGATGAATCATCATATTTTATCATATTTTATCTGGTGATATATTTGAACCATCCGAATTTGACTCATCAGATCTGTTTGTTTGCTCTGAGGTTATTTTTCACTGCCAAGGCCGGCACTACACGTGTCTTTGCACGAAGACAAAAAACATTCGCCAACTTCAGGGGCTCCTCCATTTCACATTGTCATGGGGATTTCCTAAAATAGGGGTACCCCAAAATGGATGGTTTAATAATGGACAATCCATCTATAAATGGATGATTTTGGGGTACCCATATTTCAGGAAATCACCATATTGCATGTGGGTCGAAATGGGGGACTCAAAAATCCATCCGAGTTCCCTACTCGACTTGATCATTTTCAGCCAGTGTGCTGGGTAGATGTTCAATGATTTTCACAGCTCATGATTTCTGGTCACTCCGATCGCCTTTCAGCTTTCGTGCCCAAAGGTCGAAGTATTTGCTCCTGAAACTTCGAGGTGATGGGCATGGAAGGTGCGTTTTGGATGGAAGGCATCTCAAAAAGGGATGCGTACACCAATCATTGAAAATGGCTAATGCATCTGGTTTTCATGCATTTATATTTTTTGGTGGATGTGTGATGACTTAATTTTGTATATATATATACACGTATAATATATATATATACACATACATACATACGTACATACGTACGTATGTATGTATCTATGTATCTATGTATCTATGTATGTATATGTATGTATGCATGTATGTATATGTATGTGTATGTATGTGTATGTATGTGTATGTATGTGTATGTGTGTGTGTATGTATGTGTATGTATATGTATGTATATGTATATGTATGTATATATGTATGTATATATGTATGTACGTGCGTACGTACGTATGTATGTATGTATTTATGTTTTACGTATGTATGGTACGTACGTACGTACACGTACGTATGTATGTATTTATGTTTTGTGTATGTATGCATGTATGTATGTGTACATGTATATGCAAATGTAAATGTAAATGTAAAATGTAAATGTATAATATATAGAGTATGTATATATATAATTATTGTGTATATATATATATAGTATATGTACGTATGTATGTACGTATGCATGTATGCATGCATGTATGTGTTACACATGTATACATGTATGTATATATATATGTATGTACATATATACGTGTATGTATATATATATATATTATAGATATGTATAGATATGTATAGATATGTATGTATATATATATACATGTATTGGAGCTATGACCCATGTCCAGTCCTATCAGCATAGAGCTTCAAGGTCAAGGCCATCGTATCAACCTTTCTGGGTATCAAGCCTCGATGCTGCAGAGGAAATCTGGGCAACAAACACGACAGGAATCCAAACATAATGGCTATGGTGTATCGTTAATAAGGGATGGCCATCCCCAAATTTAATGGGTACATGGTATGCGGTCTATAATAATCTACGTACAGTATACATGTAAATATCATTATATATGTGTGTGTTAAGCTCTTGACCTTGGCAAAAGTAATTGGTACTGTAAGTGTGACAAAACGTCTTGACAGCAATAAAGATTGATATGACACAAACAACAAAAAAACTAGTGGAAGGAAAGTACAGTACCCTCCACAGAGGAGCGAATAGAACTTGCTGTGCAAATGTTAAGGCAAGCTCTCGACATTTCCTGGCTCTTCAAGATGAAAAAAGATGGATAGCGATTCCTTTCGCCTTGGGCCGGCATGAAAACTGGCAGCAAAACTTAGGGACTCGTCATGTTGATTCATTTTGAATATTGAGATTTGAGTCACTTCAAAGGCTTGTGTTTTGGGAGGGCATAAGTGTCTGCACCTGGGAGACCAGGTCCTTGCACATCTAAGCGCTTGGCGAATCACGTGGACATCCAGCCTGGGGAGGGCCTTCCAGGCTGGACAGCGCCACCAGCTGGTTATCTGAGAGTCATGTTACATTGGGCCATGAGTTCTCCATCTTGAAGGGTTGGTTTTCGAATGTTTTCGATGTTTCTTTGTTGCCTCAAGATGGGGAATACCCGGCAATTCGAGTGGTGAATTTCATGATCAGTGTCAATAAAACCTTCATAAACCTTCATAAACCATAGTCATGGCCAAAACATGGTACATGGAAGTTGGCTTATGGTCATCTCATGTCATCTCACCACCCCTACGGCCCTACGAAAATGGGGGGCCGCCCATCTCCGTCCGGAAAAAGAGAGCCGGTGCCTCCTCCAAGGCCGAAATCCAGAAGAAATCGCCTTCCGGAAACTCGCCATCCACAAAGTCATGGCCTGGACGATTTACACATCACCATCAAACAGCCCAACATCAAACCGTCTAACATAGTCCAACTACATCAAATCAAGGATGGTTTTCAAATGTTTTCAATACATCAACGGATTCATTTGAATTGATTTATACTGCCAAAGACAAGATGTTTCTCGCACAATCCTTCAACATGTTCAATTTTCCACCTTTTTGTTAAAGAAAAAAGGAATTTCCTGTGATTTCCTCAACAATTTCCAAGGAACTCAATTTTGGGAGCCGAGGTACCTGCGAAGACACCGCCTACTCGAACTTTGGGCCACCAGGCCTTGGAGGGGGGATATTTCCAACAATGAGCTTCAAATGTATGGCAAATTATGTATGACAAATCATACCATGGATATACATGGAGTATCTGGGTGATGTTTAATAGTTGTTTTATCTTGTTTTTCTATTTTCAAAAATCCGAGAGCCACAAATAAAATTCAGACCAACCAATGGTCCACGTGGGAAGTCCGAGCTCGGACCCTGACGTGGATGTCTGCTACAACACCTTCAAAGTCATGCCGCGCGTCCAAGTACACCTGAGCAGTGTACTGCTTGGGTATGGCTCAAAATATCTCAAAATAATTGGCATATGGGTACTGGTACCATTTAGTCACGTTGATAGGTTTCCCTACTATGGGCTATAATATGCTATAATACTGCCGAATAACCAACTACCCAGAGTACTCTTAATGGATCTTAATGGCTCATTTGGTACCATACCCAGATAGCATCGCCTCAGTTTCACCGGCAGTCGCCTTGTCAGGTGACATCATCGAATTATGAGGGACTTCAACTACTTCAACTCCTCTAGCCTCTGGTAAACTAACATAGCTATAGAAATTCACCATTTTTAATGGGTAAATCAACTATAAATGGCTATTTTCAATAGCTATGTTTGTTTACCAGAGGGTAGTTTGAAGATCCAAATTTGGCACCAGATCTGCCGCCATGAAACAAAGTCCAGATCGCCATCTGGAATTTGACTTGCAGCAATGGCACTCTCCTGCAGCAAGGCTCCAGGATAAGGGAAATCGCGCAACCACATCGCCATCAGCTTGTATTTGAGCAACCATCAGTCTCTGGAATCCAACTAATGATTAGTCTGGTTTAAACAGTTGTTTTTGTTGAAGTGATTTCATCATGTTTCATTCGTCGTTTTGACAATGCTGTCTGGAACATCACAGAGTGTTCCCAGAGCTGAAAAGGCTATCTCGGATGCCAACCATGTGGAGAACTTCGGCATGTCCAGAACCTTAGCAGCCAGACTCAACGATCTCAACGCCGCCACATCCTTCATCGTGTGAACGCTGGCAACACATCACCATGGTATGTTGAGATAGGATGAGATAGGAGATGAGAGGAGTCTGTGAAAGCCTGAAAGATGCCGTGCTACAGAAATTTGAAGAAGCTGAGTTCCAAACGAAGGGACCTGACACAGTTGCGTGCCAAGTTTGCACGTTGCACTCTTGAAACCCATACGGGTACAATCTATATACTTAGAGTATATATTATAAGTTATAAGATATTAATAGGTATCGATAAGTTGCCTACATTTGGGATCATTTGGGACCACTTAGCTCACTTTTTGGTAAGCCGTCACGTCCGCCCAAAACGTTGCAAACATGTCAAAATCGTGTGGACGAGGTGGGAAGTGGTCAGATCCCTGGCCTTTCCAGTCTTTCTTCACATTGGATCCGGTGTTGCCTGCATAGCCACATGGCTCATGTGTGAAGAGCCACGTCACGGTATCTTTCAGGTCAAAATGATGTGTATCAACAAGTACACAAATCATCACAAGAAAAGTAGCAGATCCAGCTGCCAAATTTAAAGCACATCAATATCCAAGACTTAAGACTTTACTTTTGTGTGTGCTCTGTTCAGCCAGCTTCTTGTAGGTCTGAACTCACGATTCAAGGCTTTTTGTCGCTGGACTGCTACAGTAGACCATGGCAAAGAATTCTGACTTTAATAATACTTCGCTATTGACATGGTTGACATTTCATTGGGGTTATCAGTTTTTGGGAATGACATACGTATCGATTTAGTTCCTTTTCACGTTTTTCGGTATCTTTGAGGAGGAACTAATTCCTGCGTTCCATGTTCCTTCCATTGATCCCGAGACTACAACCTGACAGATACACTAGAAACAAAGAGATGAGAAAAGAAGAATAGAGGATCGTAGTAGAGAAGAGAAGAACGACATGACGAGAATCAGAGTCGTGTGCAAACCTATGTTGCCTCTCAGAAGTAGAGAACTAACTCCAAAGCTAAGCCTTGTACCGTTGACATGGAACTGACACTCATTGTAAAATATTGAACCGCGATTTCATAACTAGTGATTAATTCACTCTTGGATCCACCTCTTCCATTCTCAATGAATCCAGGTTGTTCTTCGGGAAATCCAGAAATCCACCGCCCATGGCTTCGCCCCAAGGGCGAAACCGGAAAAATCGCCTCCGTGCGGCGACGCCGTGCACATTGGCAATGTCCACATAGAAGAGGTTCGTGTCAGATCCCTCCTGTCATGGCGAATAAAAAAATGACTGAAGCATGGCATGACCGACCGTGGGCCTTGTGGGCTTGTAACTTGCCAACAAAAAGTTGGGGAACACCCAAGAACTGTAATCCAAGAAAAAAACACTGCATATGCCAATGGATGGAAAGAAACTATACCAAATATGGGATTATCCCTTGCTAACACCTCGGCAGGGTCGCACCTCACCCCAAAGGTCCACAAGCCTCAAACCTTGGTTCACAAGTCTCCAGTTTCGTCGATGGATACTTTTTTGGGTCCAACTTGGGCACGCCCGAAAAATTGGATGGATAGTTATGGATTATCATGGCTTATTATGGATTGCTGAAAATGATCAACATGATCAATTCATCTGCAGCTGCCAAAGTCCACAAATTTTGGCACGAGCCTAGATCCTACCAAGAATGCTGCAACTGCCTTGGAAACATTTGGAAACGACATGTTCTGTGGCAGTCGTCAGTTTCTCAGCTTCCAGCGGTCTCCCTTCCACTTCTCTAAGAAGTTGTGAGCATGAACACCAGCTTGAACACCAACCTGCGAGGTTCGATTTCATTCAAAAAGGCACAGCACAAGTAGCTGCTGGCGGTGCCAACCCATCCCCCAAAAATTAACAAATGTGTAAATCATTGTAAACCCATAGGGGTTCACCCCAGATTTGAAAAACATTCGTGGCATCTACTACCACCAGATTTCACCCAAACACGGCTCAAGACATCTCAAGACTATTGAGCCCGAAAAACAGATGGGTAGATACATGTAGATACATGTAGATACTAAACACATCTAAACACGACCAATTTAAGCGTGTCAGTTGGTACCCACAACTGACCCACCCAAATGGTCAGTTAAGCCTCCACAGCCTCTCGGACCAGGCCCAGGCCTTAGAATCAGGTGGCCATGGTGGGAAAATTGGTGGATTCAATATACCCTCTGGTAATTTAACGTAGCTATGGAAAATCACCATTGTTCATGGGTAAATCCAGTATAAATGGCCATTTTCAATAGCTATGTTAGTTTACCAGAGGGTATTCAATCCGCAATTTTGTGGTGTCAAATGGTCAAATCATGTTGAAAAATCCCCATCTGTGTCCGCCATTTATCCCAAGTTTTGTGGTGATTTGATTTTTTCTGGGTGAAATTCGGTAATTTCACCCAACTCTTTGGAGGGAGTTTTCAGCCGCTGACAATTCAGCAGGAGGGGCAGCTCTGATCGAGAGTCCGGAAAAGCGGTCTGCAAACAGTGCCTGAAGACGTCTGTTTTGCACAGACCCAAGATGACCCAGGCAATGTATGGTAATGTTACGTATCTGATTCTACAATGAGCAACCTGTGAATCGTCAACATGGAATCTACAAACATCTACAACTGCTGGGGCTGTCACCTGCTGTTGGTCTCCGAAGTAGCCTGGTTGGCGCACATCTGCAAGCAAGTATGGACAGCACACAAAGTTTCGAACATCTTCTTGCCTCACCAGCAAGAAATGTGGTCAGCACTGCGCCCCATAGCGGGCGCATCCCAATGACTTGCGGAGATGAAAAACTGCCTTGATGTCAGCTCCAATCTTTTTGCCACTAGATGTCACACGATTGTGGCGACAGGTAGGGTAGGGCAACTGTTTCTTTGATCTAAGTCAAGCTGCGAAAATCTGCAGGCTTCCATTCTTGGACTGTTTGATGGAAGATACGAGCTGGAGCAGAAGAATTGCAGGCCACGCAAGTCCCATCGTCGTGACATGTCATGGATATCCATGGATTACTAACAAATGAAGCAGCTGTTGTGCCACAATCTGCCTTGGAGAGAAAGGAGGCTGGCCAGGCATCAGCTTCCAGCCACGTGCCCGCCTGATATTATGATGGGTATGGGTAAAAAACAGTGGTGCGGGATTCTGGGATGGTATTTTTCGGGAAGATGTTTGTCAGTTTTAGTAGTGAACCCATATGATTTTGTCAAGCCTCAGATGTTATAAGGTTCGAAGGACAGGTGTTGTGTGTGGTTGAAATCTAAAGCCTGGCGGCCGCACGTCGTAGAAAGGCTTACAAACGTACAACAAGAGGTCTGACCGTCTTGTTATCAATGACTCCGTCTTTCTCGCACGCACTGCTTACACTCGAACACAACAAGGAAACGCACTTCCTTCTGAAACCTTCGGAAAAAATGTGTATAGTGTATACCTTCTACTAAAAGGAAACCTGGGAAGAACACATCCAAATGGAAACACCATCTAATTCACAATTTCATACGATTCGGGATTACAAATGATTACCATTAATAGGGCTGCTGGGTATCCATCATTTGCGAGGGTTTGGTCCTGCCGTTTTAAAATGTTCCAACGAAACCCATCTGAAAATGGTTGGGTTTCAACCAGAATGACCCGTCCAGGCTCCCAGGTCAACAGGTCCCAATAAGGGGGTCCAGGGTCGCCTGCGCAGCAGAAATGTAGAGGCACAAGAAAATGGCATCATTGACCTGTCATTGGCCCCACTGCTCCAGGCTAGTGTCCCAGACACCGTCATGCGGCATCATGGCATCGTGGACCCTGACTATGCTAGAGCCGCTAGGATAGTGATACAATTCGAAGATGTTGATTGGGAATGACTTAATTTCACCTGTGATTCACTACAGCTAGCAAGCCTCAACCCCCAGTTCATGCTACCCGACCGCTCGAGCAATCATGCAATTTCTGTCACAGCACAGAGTCCAACCACCACACAAAACATCGCAACATCTCAATCTCTATGAAAATATGAGGCCCCTGTGACAAGGAGCAGCAGGTTTCAATGGAGTGACAGCACCAAAACCATCCTACTGCACATTACACAACAACCAAAATCATCTATCAAATCCTTCAACATGTGAATGACACAGAAGTCGGAAATGGCTAAGTCATATCATAGCACCTGGGGTTTCCAGTTAGTCCCTTAGAATATCATTCCAAATTTGAGGAACTTGCAAGTCTTCGGAGTCGAAAGATTTTCGAACAAAGCGGCTGATTTGACTGGCCATTTGACTCCTGAATTTTGGGACATGAGGGTGTGCCAAGGGAGCGTCATGAGAAAACTGCTTGATTCAAATGGGATGCACCACAGTACCGAGTTTACATTCGGTTGGCAAAGCCTCTGAATTTCTCAGCTGCGTGTGCTGAAATTCACATGTCATGCCATGGATGTGGAATGCAGGTTTCTTGCCATGCTATGGTAGGAACAGCACTGGGGACGTGCAGATTTGAATCGATGGTTGTGGTGCATCAAAGAGTTCAATTACGAACTCACTACGGACTTCTTGCATTCATCTAGCTCAAAAGCTTGCAGTTCTCTGGCCAACTATTATTTTTTGTTGCCGGGCGCTCTTTGAGCTGTTTCTTCAGGAATCTACATCCTTAACTTATACAGTTTTCCATTCATAAACTCCTGCTGTTTCAATAACCCAGTCTGTGGCTTCTCAATGAACCAGCTTTTAGGATTGAAGTATTCTACAGTATAATCTCAATTGCTTTCAGGATTATTTAATTTGCTTCTGCAATCCTTCGCACTCCTGTTTGTTTTGCAATGCTGTATTCTGTACAAGGCGGACTACTCCAAATCATATGAAAAAATATATTTCATAATCCCATTCAAGGATCCTACAATTTACATCGGCGTATATCATGGTATTCATGGTATATCAGGGTTCTACAGGAACTCCACCTTTTATTTTTCTGCCCGGTAGGACTTCCCGGCGCATTGCATCTTTTTTCGCCCGCTGAGCCAAAAAACAGAATTCATCACCGGCTTCTCACAACCCTGCGAGATGCGGAATTCCAACGACCTGTAGCGCTGACACTTCTGGGCGACGAACACGACGACGACCACGACGACAATAACAACTAGTATTGCTATCATTTTTGGCTACTGATTCTTAAATAATATTCATATATGTATTGTTATTCACCAGCCTTATCAATCATTATTGTATTTTGATGTATTTTACTGCAAGGACAATGATGATGATGATGATGATGAAGATGATGGTGCATGTGAAATGCGGCATTTGTCCAACAAGAAAGGACCCAGCAAACGGTTCTGCCCAACCTCAACAGCTCTCGCAACTGCACTTCAGTCCTCAGCCACAGGGGTCTTGGATTTGCATCCAGGTTGAAGCCTGTGAAACGAGCTTTCAACTCCAACACAAACGACGTTGCATGGCCAAGCATGTCTGTAGTAATATGTATTTGAAACCATCCCGGTCAGTAATTTCTTAATTGGTAGCAAGATGTAGCAAGTCTGAGCTCCGCACCCCTCAGGTGGACGGAGGAAGATCAAACCTGGTGGGAATTTCACCCATGATTTATAGTGATTTTATGGTTAAGTATGGTTAAGTATGGTTAAGTATGGTTAAGTATGGTTAAGTATGGTTAAGTATGGTTAAGTATGGTTAAGTATGGTTAAGTATGGTTAAGTATGGTTAAGTATGGTTAAGTATGGAAAAGTATGGTTAAGTATGGTTAAGTATGGTTAAGTATGGTTAAGGATGGTTAAGGATGGTTAAGGATGGTTAAGCATGGTTAAGGATGGTTAAGGATGGTTAAGGATGGTTAAGGATGGTTAAGCATGGTTAAGCATGGTCAAGCATGGTTAAGCATGGTTGAGTATGGTTGAGTATGGTTGAGTATGGTTGAGTATGGTTGAGTATGGTTGAGTATGGTTGAGTATGGTTGAGTATGGTTGAGTATGGTTAAGCATGGTTAAGCATGGTTAAGCATGGTTAAGCATGGTTAAGCATGGTTAAGCATGGTTAAGCATGGTTAAGCATGGTTAAGCATGGTTAAGCATGGTTAAGCATGGTTAAGCATGGTTAAGCATGGTTAAGCATGGTTGAGCATGGTTGAGCATGGTTGAGCATGGTTGAGCATGGTTGAGCATGGTTGAGCATGGTTGAGCATGGTTGAGCATGGTTGAGCATGGTTGAGCATGGTTGAGCATGGTTGAGCATGGTTGAGTATGGTTGAGTATGGTTGAGTATGGTTGAGTATGGTTGAGTATGGTTGAGTATGGTTGAGTATGGTTGAGTATGGTTGAGTATGGTTGAGTATGGTTGAGTATGGTTGAGTATGGTTGAGTATGGTTAAGTATGGTTAAGTATGGTAAAGTATGGTAAAGTATGGTAAAGTATGGTAAAGTATGGTAAACTATGGTTAAGTGTGGTTAAGTATGGTTAAGTATGGTTAAGTATGGTTAAGCATGGTTAAGCATGGTTAAGCATGGTTAAGCATGGTTAAGCATGGTTAAGCATGGTTAAGCATGGTTAAGCATGGTTAAGCATGGTTAAGCATGGTTAAGCATGGTTGAGCATGGTTCAGCATGGTTGAGCATGGTTGAGTATGGTTGAGTATGGTTGGGTATGGTTGAGTATGGTTGAGTATGGTTGAGTATGGTTGAGTATGGTTGAGTATGGTTGAGTATGGTTGAATATGGTTAAGCATGGTCAAGCATGGTTAAGCATGGTTAAGCATGGTTGAGTATGGTTGAGTATGGTTGAGTATGGTTGAGTATGGTTGAGTATGGTTGAGTATGGTTGAGTATGGTTGAGTATGGTTGAGTATGGTTGAATATGGTTAAGCATGGTCAAGCATGGTTAAGCATGGTTAAGCATGGTTGAGTATGGTTGAGTATGGTTGAGTATGGTTGAGTATGGTTGAGTATGGTTGAGTATGGTTGAGTATGGTTGAGTATGGTTGAGTATGGTTGAGTATGGCAAAGTATGGTAAAGTATGGTAAAGTATGGTAAAGTATGGTAAAGTATGGTAAAGTATGGCTAGGTATGGTTAAGTATGGTTAAGTATGGTTAAGTATGGTTAAGTATGGTTAAGTATGGTTAAGTATGGTTAAGTATGGTTAAGTATGGTTAAGTATGGTTAAGTATGGTTAAGTATGATTAAGTATGGTTAAGTATGGTTAAGTATGGTTAAGTATGGTTAAGTATGGTTAAGTATGGTTAAGTATGGTTAAGTATGGTTAAGTATGGTTAAGTATGGTTAAGTATGGTTAAGTATGGTTAAGTATGGTTAAATATGGTTAACTATGGTTGACTATGGTTGACTATTGAAATCTCCTTTTCTAGTGATTGTTGCTTAAAAAAATAAACCAATGATTTAACAAAGACACATGTTTTTTGTCAACCATCAAACAATGGCAATATATTTGGGTCAATATGGGTCAATCATCATGTACCAGCCGTTGGGTCCGCCTCCAAGGTGATTTTTCATTCGTCATGATTCATAGCCACCCATAGCCACCCATAGGTGGAGATGGACCCATCTCAAAGATATCTCCTTTGTTTTGCGAGTTTGAAACGACATGAAACGACCATGTCCCCAGCATTCCCCAGCTACCCATAGCTACCCTGCCTGATGTTTCCAACGATTCAGTTTCTTGGACCCCAAACTCCGCCACCAGCACATCGTCAAGCTGTAGCAGCCGTAGCCGCTGGTAGAGACCAGCAACTTGATCATCATCCAGGTATGGAAACCACAGAAGGACGCAACTCTGAGGCCACTTCTCATAGAAATGCTGCAAAAGGAAGAGATTCCAGGCCATATATGTCTCATAGGGATCATATGGTGGATCCATTAAGATTAAGCTCCGACTTTCAGACTGCTGATGTGCCAAGTGCCAATAGGAATTCCCCTGCTGCACCGTTGCGGTTGCGGTTGCAAAGGACTGCTGCACATTCTCCTGCCGGTTGGCCAAAAACCAGCAGACTTGGTAGGTACATCATGCCATGTGGATATGGCTCAAAAATGGGGGCATACAGACAAACAGCTAATCACTTTTCATGTATGACTGTTTGACAAACCCAGGAATTAAGGATCAATCTAGAATTTGGCCTCCCATAACTTCCTGATGTCTCTCATTTGGAAGGTTCTCCCTGTTCAAGCCATGTCCTTCAACTGCAGAAACGCCTCCCTGGACATCTCATAAAAGATGGCCTGGTCTTGTGGCCGCAGCCATTGAAGCGCCAGCAGTGGAGAGCCTTGGTACTTCCCAACCAATGGATCAGCGAGCGTGCCAGCTGTGCCAGCTGTGCCAGCCATGGCTGCATGGATGTATGCATGCAAAACGTCACCTCCCAAACTTGGTGGACATGGAGGTGCTATCAATTGCAGGATGCCCCTCTGAGCTGGACCTCCAAGATCATACAACGAAGGCCCTGCGTGAGTGTCGATGCAAGTCACTGGGGAAGGGTCTGAGATGAGCTTCTGCAGCAGCATCAGAAAAACTGAGTGTTTGAAGCAGTCCAGGGTGCTGCCAGCTTGGGAACAATGCTGGTACCTGGCAATGCTGAAGTCGCTGATGCCCATCTGCAGCATTGCCTCCACTAACCTCAAGACATCCTTCCAACGCCCCGACTTGCTGCAGGTGGAAATGGCGGATGCGAAGCAAACGCTGTCAAGTTTCATACCAGAGACCGGCATCTGAAACAACAAGTGGAGTGCCAACTGCCACTGCTGCCCTGTTTCACATGCGGACAGTGCTGCACCACAGGCCACGCTATCTGGGATGATCTTGGCTTCCCCCATTTGGGCCAACAGCGTCAGAGACCTCTGCCACTGGCTGCCCTTTTCGCAAGCACTGAGGATAGCGCTGTAGCTGATGACATTGGGCAACATTACCATAGAGCACATGCTGCCGAAAAAGAAAAGAGCTTGCTGCCACTGGGAGGCACTCTGGCATGCACTGATAGCAGCAGAATAGGTCACCACATTGAGCTGGATTTTGCTGTTGATCATTTGCATGCATAAGCCCAAAGCAACCTTCCATTTTTGGTTGCTTTCACAGGCGCGAACTAAACCACTGCAGGTGAAAGCATCAGGCTGTTTGGGCTCTTCCGTTTGAGTCATGGCAGCAAAAACTTCGAACGCCTCTTCCCAATTGCTACGAACACACGAGCTGAGTGCAGTGTTGAAGCTAATTAAATCCCTCGATCCTGGTATCTCTCCTTTCCAAAGGGCCCCCAGTGCAGTTTTCCAACACGCTGTTTTCTCGCAGGCGCTGAGAATGGCGTTGCGACTGATGGTGTTTGGTGAGCACCCTTGCTGCCTCATTGAAGACAAAAGCCAAAGACCAAATTTCCACTGCTTTCCTTTGCCAACTGCGTTGATGGCAGCGTTGTACACTATCACGTTTGCTTCCAGTCCCTGCCTCGCAGGTGGACTGGTATGCACACGTGGACAGGATGAACATGTGGGGTCTCCCCACTTTGAGTCCAAGCCCTCCCTTCTTCAATTTCACCGGAGGGATCAGACCAAGTCTGCACATGCTCAAAGGTGACATTGACATGTACTACAACATTATATATATATATAATTATATATATATACACGTATATTACATAATTACACCCATGCCCAAAATACTGGAACACCTACGTCTGAAAGACATATAGTGGTTGCCAAAGGGTTCAACCCAACAAAAGAAATGTATAGAAATGTGATGTACCGTCTCCCATGAACAATGCATGTTAATGTTGATGGTAAATACCTCGTTTCTCAGATTTACCGGGCTTGGATTCCAGACTTTGAGACAACCCCAAATGGTTAGTTACAGGATATAAGTTAATTATGACCGTATAGCCGTATAGCCCCTTACTCATCTTACTATATCTTACTCAGATATGTTGGAATACGTTTGAACCCCATGGGCATAGCGGCATTCGACTCTTTCAATGTGCAAAAGGGTTCATGTACATGACTGTGACATGCTGGACAGGTGAAGTATCTGTTCTTATCAGTGTGCACCACAACTCAACTAGCTTGACTGCTAGGCTCTTTTAGGATCAAAAGGCGCGCTGCTCTGCCTTGCACAGGTTATGAGCCCAACGCTCAGCTGAAGGGGCGTTTGCCATGTCGTGGTCTAGAGCGAGTTCGGTGCCAACTGGTAGAGGTGGACCTCGAGGTCTACGGCTGGATCAAGAAGGCCAACCAGGGCATGGAGGTGAACGAGCTGGACATGACGGCAGAGACCTTCGGCATGGAGATGGAAGAGCTCTACCAAATGGCAGTGATGGACGAGATGAAGGTCGAGCTCTACTACGAGGCGAACATGGAGGGGCTCTACGGCAAGAACTGGATGTGAGCACTGACCTGTTGGACTTAGGCACCGAGCCGAATCCGTGGTGGTCAGCAGGGGTTCAGCAAGAACACCTACGAGAAGCACGTCGGTTGGCCATGGAGCAGCCGATGTGGACGCCAAGGGAAGAGGTCTCAGTCAAGGAGGACCTTCCGGAGATAGAAGATGCAGACGCGTCGCGAGAGTTGGAGCCGCTAGCAATGGGACGAATGAGTGCTCCGTCAAGTTGGAGTACAAGACGAGGTGTGGCCTTGCAGACTCAAGGGGCTATGCCATCAAATGATGATGAAGACCTTCGGTATCCTCAAGATGCTGGACAAGGTCAAGGCCTTCGGTATGATGCTGGACAAGGTCGCCGTGAAGTACACCCTCAAGGTGTGGACCTTCGACATCCTCAAGATGTTGGACAAGGTCAACATGCAGGACACCCTCAAGGTGTCGATCAATTTGCACACTCTCAAGGTGTGGACCTTCGGTATCCTCAAGATGCTGGACAAGGTCAACGTGCTGGACACCCTCAAGGTGTCGAACAATGTGGACACCCTCAAGGTGTTAGACGTGATGGGCACCCTCAAGGTGTCGAGCAAGTTAGGCACCCTCAAGGTGTCGATCAAGTTAGGCACCCTCAAGGTGTCGATCAAGATGAACACCCTCAAGGTGTTGAACAAGTTGGGCACCATCGAGGTGTCGCAGCAGGGCTACTTGCTGGAGAAGTGCAACGTTCTGGCAAGGGGCATGGTCAAGGAAGAGTGGTGCGGCCCAATGGGATGGGAGGTGAGATACCATCTCATGGGGTTGCAAGACAAGGTGGGAAGACTGGAGGACTGGGAGGTGAGATACCAGTTCAAAGGTCTGACATCATGCAAGAGGCTGGACACCATCGAGGAGTCAGCCGTGGACCCTCAAGGTCTGAAGTTAATGTGCAAGAGGTTGGACACCATCGAGGAGTCAGCCGTCATGGACCCTCAAGGTCTGAAGGAAATGTGCAAGAGACTGGACGCCACCGAGGAGTCAGTCATGGTTATGGACCTGAACGACGTCAAGTTCAAGGTCATCGAACAGTACCAAGTGGTCTGCGAGATCAATCTCAAAGACGAGGTCATCGGCAAGATGATGGATCACCCTTGGAAAGAGTTCCAATGGGAGTGCAACAGTATGAGATGAGACGACAGATGCCACGTGAGGCAAGTCGGCAACCACAAGGTGGAGTACAAGGTTGTAGCACAAGAACCTTTGTGGACGATGTCAATCAACAAGGAAGAGATGAGCGTGATGAGCTCAAGCGGGCTTTGGAGCAATCAATGGTTGAAGAGCTTCACAGACAGAAGCTTGAGATGGAAAAACAAAAGGAAGAGATGAAGAAGTATGCTGAGGACTTGCAACGCCAGCGTGATGAGTTTGAAAAGAAGAATGAGGAGTTGCAGAAGGAGCTCAAGAAGAAGAGTTCAAGCGTGGAACCACCAAGGACACCACCGCGCCGACCTCAGTACTACTCGCTGTCACCAAGAACAACACCTGGAGGAACTCAAGTTCCGCCGGGACAACCACCACGGGAGGTAGCAGATCTTCCAGAACTTCCACCATGGCAGTTTGACCCATTTGCAGTTGATGAGCACGTGGGTGGTGGAACAGGTTTTGATGGTTTGGAGGATTTTTGGACTCCAGTGGATCAACAACCACAACAGCAGCATCATCTTCAACCTGGAGCAGATCGCTTTGCATGGTTGGACAGAGAGGTCAGGATGATGCATGGCGAAAGACCAAGGTTGACAGGTGAGTACTGGGAGCAACCGGTGCACAGACATGGTGGTCCACCAGCGGATTTTGGTTATGTTCCGCACCCCCCCCCACAACCGCCTCAAGGACATGGAGTTGGACCTTCTGGTGTACCAATGTATGCAGCACCAATGCAATATGGTTCAGTGCCACTGCAATGGCAACAACCTCAACCACAAGCAAAAGGTCCTGATGGTGAAGCTTCTGAGGTGCTGAGAAATGTGCCAATTACACTGCCAATTTTGAAGGACGTGTCAGAGCCTCAAGCTGCCCTTCGTGCAGGAGATTGGTTAAGTGAGTTGATGCCGCTGATCTCAGATGTCTCAGAAGGGGCAAGAGTGTGGTGGACCGGACTAGTACAACGAGCTCAAGATGCCTATGCAACATGGCTGACAGCGGGTCCAATGGATCGCATGGCTGTGCAACCTGACCTTCAAGTGGAGAACAAGTATGTCAGGTTGGAGTCTCGCGTGCTGTCAATGTTGTTAGCTGCAGTGCCACAGACGGTCAAACAAGAAGCAATCTCTTTGCGAGAGATGACATGCGTGCAGCTGGTGTTTCGCATCTTGAAGCTGTACCAACCTGGTGGTCTCAACGAGAAAAGCACCATCCTCAACAACTTGACTCAAACCACAGCAGCCAAATCTGCAGCTGAAGCTGGTGAGATGCTACGCCAATGGCGACGTCAACTCCTGCGAGCTCGTGAACTTGGACTACAGGTTCCAGATCCCTTGCTGCAGGTGAGCGCACTTTCTGAAGTGATGCGGACAGTGATTGCGAAGGAGCATCAAGCGAGCTTTCGCATCAGCAACTTCCGCATGACCCATATGGTGGATGTGGCGCCTACACAGCTTACAGCGGAGAACTATCTGCAGATGTTGATTGCCGAAGCGGATCACTTGCATCATGGAACAATGACGAAGGCAAGTCCGACTTCTGGCAACCCAAGATCAATGTGGTCAATGCTGCTGGTGACAAGGGTGGTGGCAAGAAGGGATCTCCTGGTAAGAAAGGCTATGGCAACAATGCAGAAGGCAGCGGTTATGGTGCAGGAGCTGGAGCATGCAAGCATTGGGGTAAACCTTATGGATGTCTCAAGGGTGACAAATGCACCTATGCCCACGAGTGGAACAACCTCAACGACAAGGAGAAGAGATGTTGGAAGTGTTCCAGTTTGGAACACATTGCAAAAGACTGCACGGCTGGTGACAAGCTTATGACAAGTCCAGGTGACAAAAGCTCCAAAGGAAGCCCTAAAGGCAAGGGAAAGACAAAGGATGGCAAGAACGACAAGGGCAAAGGCAAGGACCGGGACAAGCCGGTCGGGGGAGTGGATCAGTCTTCAAAGGATTCACAGCCTCAAGTTGCCCAGATACAACAGCAACCTCAAGTTGCCCAGATACAACAGCAACCTCAAGTTGCTCAGGTACAACAGCAGCCTCAAGTTGCTCAAGTACAACAACAAGTTCAGCCCTCAGTCATGGGTGAAGTTGCCAGTCTTTTGAAAACAATGCGAACAACGTCAGCGACTCCAAGGGTGTTGGCGGTGGTGACTGACAGCAATCAGGGTGTGCTACTGGACTCAGGGGCCACGCATATCCTTAGAGGACCCTATGATGAGACTGAGTGGATGCAGGCGATCCCAACAGAGGTACAAACGGCAACTGGAAAAACACAGTTGAGGATGTCGAAGATGAGCAGATCGTTGTTGACAAAGGATGATCTGCAGCCAATTGTGCCTTTGGGAATGTTGACTCAGCATGGATGCAAAATGAGGTGGCATCGCGATGGGTGCGCTCTCACACATGGCAAGCTGGGTGAAGTGAAAGTCACAGTTCGTGACAATTGTCCCTACGTGACCAATGATGTGGGGATGAAGCTCATTCGAGAACTGGAAACCGCTGAGAAGAACAAGCAGTTGATGTTGCGAAGTTTGGAAGTCACAGGTTGGAAACAGGAAGACAAGGACATGGCCGACAAGCTCAAGAAGTTGTTTCCTGAAACACCTGTGGAGTTGTTGCAACCGATGGTGAGCAAAGCTGGTGATGAGGCTCGATTGCCATGGAATCGCCATCAACGGCGACGCTTCAAGAAGGCCAAGGGCATTGTGCTGAATTTGTTTTCAGGTCCAGATCAAGCGTGGTGGTCAAAAAGAATGCCACACGACATCGAAGTGGTGAATGTGGATCTACTTCGAGGACAAGATCTTTTGGATTCAGCAGTTTGGCACTTTTTACTGCAGTTTGTGAGGTCGGGTCGAGTGGTTGCAGTACTTGCTGGCCCACCGTGCAGAACAG